AGGGCCTCCAAAACCATCGAAAGCTTGTCGCGAGAACAAAGAGAATCCCAAACGTCGCGCCAAAAAGCTCCACGGTGCGTCATCATGTCGGCAGGAAGCTGCCTGACTCCATTAGGGGCAACCACAAATTGGGGGGGGGTCACCAACATCATGTTTCGACCAGGAGAGGGCCTTCTTAGCCCATTTTGGAAGCGCCTTCAAGAGCCAGTCCTTCATTCTCGCGCGAGAGTTCGATCTTGCCGCTTCCAGGCAGCGCGGGCACCGACAGAAATTGCACCTGTGAGCATATCCAGATGATCAGCCTTCGTCGGAAAAAAGGAAAACAAACGAGACCTCCGCCAGCTAAGCCCAACGGCGTCCGCAGGGCCAAGAATCCGGTCAATCTTGGCCGCTAAACCTTGGAGGGCGCTAGCTAAGCTGGCGACCATTTCAGGAGACTTGCGGGCCAAGTAAAGACGGCACCCCCGCGTGTTTTGAAAGAGTGGGCCCAGAAAAATAAGAGCAGGTTCGCGGAAACTCTGGCCCTCAGGGCCTCTACGTCCAATAGGCGCGAAACGAAACGCAGGGAACTCACCTCGCTTCGCCCGCCCCTCTTTGACGTCGCAGGTAGCAGCCCTGGATTCAAGCGCCGCCTCCTTAGCCCGAGACCACAGAAGGTGGGGATCTGCGAGGCCAGCGTTCAAGTTATCCTGCACGTGCGGTAACGGGGCTCGATAAAGGTACGCAGGAATCGCATGCTGTCCCTCGTCGGGGAGCTGCGCTCACACCTGCGACCATGGCGGGCCAGGTCCAACACGTTCTGGCAATGGGACGGGGCGACACCTATTCCACATCAACTGTTCCAGAGCGTCATGCATGATACGCATGTCCAAACATATGTGCGCCTCAAACGGGCTCTGAGAATAAGTGCCCACCTTCGCAACATCAACAATATCATTCGACGCAATGGCACAGTCGATGAGGGCGCCCCTTCCCTGCGCACGCGTCACAGGCGCGTCGCCGGGAACCGGGATACGAGCACGGGCGGGCTGAGGGAAGCCAGAAAGATTCATATCATCAGGAGGCATGTAGAAATCCCCAACCAGTATCCAAGGAATGGCCGGGGCCCCAAGGAACTCCGAGACAGCGCGAACACGTTCGACGCTTTCCCAGCAAGACCAAGTCAGCAACCACATAAACCACGCCAACAGCAATGACACATTGCTTGGTTTTGAGCTCCAAAAAGAGCCAGCTGAGGCCACTGCATACATCTGGAAGGTTCGAGCCACAGGCCAGAAACCGCCGAAAACTCTAACGTTCAGAAACCGCAGCTCCTACTCCTCCAGGGGCGCCTCCTCCAGGGGGCGGGGGGGCAGGGCGCAGACGCGGCCTCCAGCCGATCTGCGCAGCATTCCTTTTGGCACGAGCAAGGTCTTTGACCGAAAGATGTTCTGCGACGAAGAAGCCATCGCACGCGGGCTTGATCAGCTGTAACAAATCGAGCGTGACCTGGTTCCACGAAGTGATGTTACAGAACAGCAGATCTATGGAAACCGACCGCTTCCTCGCCAGTGTCGCCTCACTCGCACCATCGATGTTAAAGACGCCGTTGCCCAGCACCTGCCTCTGCAGCAGCGGGGCCTGTGGCAGGGGCGTGCACTGGGTGCATAGCTTGCAATGCACGATCAAACGAGGCTGCCGCTCCATCTCGAACAGTACGCAAACGTTTGGCAGCATTGATCTGGGATCGCTTCTGCATGAGAGTCTCCAAGCTCTCGAGCTCGCCAGCTACAAAGCGATTTCAACGCTCCGCTTTTTGAGTGCATCCAGTTCTTCACGGTACACCTCGTCGTTGCCAATATCACTGGGGGCATCAGAGGAACAATCTTCCTCGATATGTGATTTGAACGACTTGATATGCTGCCAATGTTCAAACCTCTGCCTGTTATCCTCACACCAATTACGTAAATCTTCCTTCCTGAGAGACTGCAACTCAGGTGCCTGAGGAGCTCCACCATGTGGCGCAGCGTCTCCATGAGCATGACCTGGCCGCCCAGCATCGACCTCCATGGGCCGCGCGTCGCCGTGGGCGGCTGACGCAGCAGGGCGGGCATCGGTACTCAGCTGGGGGGTGGACGGAGGGGCTGGCTGCCGCCGCAGCAGCCTGCCCACGCTCCCGTTCCAAACGCTCCCGTTCAGCACGCTCGCCCGCCACAATCTGCACACGGAGCGCCTGTGGGTCGAAAGAGTCCATCTCGACAAAAGCAGCACGATGGGCAGCAGCAGCAACACGCTCCAATTGCAAAACAGCCTCGGCGTGGGCATCTTGTGCCGTTGCCAAAGCCTCTTCGTAGCGCGCCACACTTGCAAGCTTAGGCCCCACATCGTACAAAACAACACGCTCGGCCTTAGAACCTCGTTCGACTGCGAGAGCCAGAGCCGTCGTCTTCTTAACGACCTTCTTCCCCAAGTCATTCTCAGATGACGGGAAGGGTACCTCAGCTTCAGCAGGATGCGGTGCACGCTCACGAGCACCACGAATTACATCATCACGATCAGGAAAGAGTCCCGCAAGCCGCCCGGGTTCATCGTCGAGAGAGGGGACATTGGGCTGGTATTTGGCACGACGCTTCCAACGCCCACCACCAGCAGCAAGAACATGACCATCCTTCGTGCCGTCCTTCGCGAGGCACGCACCCTTACATTCCGAGCATGAGACGTGACCGTGGTAGTCCAACTCCCAGTGCCCGCACTTCGGGCACACACTGTAGCTAGACCGAGCATCACTGCCAGGTCGACGACGAATCCACGGTGCACATTGCCAAAGCATGGCAGGATAACCTCCAAAGCGTTGGCGGATGCTCCAGCAGGAGCTCACAAATATGGAAAGCAGGCTCACAAGAGCAAACCTGGTGGCGCGGGCAGCACACCAGGCGAAAACACGCGCCAAAATCACCTGAGCTTGCCACACGGCTGCGGACAAGCTCGAAGCCTCGCGGCAAGGTTTCGAACTTGAGCCAAAATGGCGACGGGGAGGAGGAGGAGGAGGAGGAGGAGGAGGAGGAGGAGGAGGAGGAGGAGGAGGAGGAGGAGAAGGAGGAGGTGGCCCCCGAGAAGGCCCCCCAAGACAGCCGACCATGCTTGCAAGATTCCCCACGGGCGGCCAAACGCGGGGAGGCCGCAGGGGCCCCAGGAGCCCTCCCCCACGACGAGGGCCCCTCTGAGGCTCCCAGCACGTGGGGCCCCAAGCTGGCCATCGCTCGGACGTCCATTCCCTGTTTTTGTTGGGGGGGGGGTCGTGCGTGTTTTTTTCGCCAACTGATCAAGGATGCTCCTCGATGGCCCTCGCCGAAGGAAACATGCACACGTCCGAGCGATGCCAAGCAAGAAGCGCCGCAGCATACGCGGAGGGAGGAGGCCGAGCCAGCAGCAACTGCACGCAGGACGCACGACGGGAACCGAGCAGAAAAGCATGCGCCATCGGGAGCGGCACGTCTCCTCTTCTGGGGGTCGGCGGAGTGGTGTGAGCCCCGTGAGCGCTCACAAAGGAAAAGACACACGAAGGAAGGGACCAGAGTGAGGGGGAGCGGCAAAGAGGACAAACCATAAGAAATGGACAGGGACAATGATGAGAGAGATAGAACAAGAGAGAAGAGAGGAAACTACAATAGTATATACCTGTATATATAAATAGAGAGAGAGAGAGAGAGAGAGAGAGAGAGAGAGAAAAAAAAAAAAAGAGAAGCAAGGAAAATAAAATAAACAGAGATAAACATAGAACGTGTAAGAAATGGGAATGCCAACGCTGCGGGTTCGTCCACTTGCAAAGGAGGCCGGAACCATCAACTTCTGCGACTACTCAGCATTCTGCATGCCAATTCCCCCCGCACGTCTCTACCTTCTCTGCCTTCTCCCCTCCTCCCCCGTCTCTCCCCCCTCCTCTCCTGCCCGGAACAAGCGGACTGGAGCATGCGGGGAAGCATGCGAAACATCCTACACCTGGTGGCCCCAGAGTCGCTGCTGGGGTCGAAGGATCGCGCAGCATCGTCGATGCATCGCCGATGTGTCGGCGATGCATCGGCGACGTCGGCGACACATCCACGACGTCGGCGTGGGGAAAGTCGGGCTCCACATCGAGACGCATCGCCGATGCATCGGCGATGCGGCGCGATCCTCCGACCCCATCTGCTCGGAGCCCATCTAGGAGGCCTAGAGCCTCTGGACTGGTGCCAGCGTGTCCGATACCAGGGAAGCGGGAGATGCGGGGGAGGAGTGCCGCACATCCTCGGAACATGCGCTCGCGCCAGCGTGTCTACGACACGGGCGGTGCAGCGAGGGCTGGCGCAGGCCGCGCGCCGTCGGCGGAGCTGGACGGGGCATAAAGGCATGGAGCTATAAGCACGTCCCGAGGATCGTCGGCATCAGGAGGGAGAGATGAGGAGGGAGGAGGCGGGTTTCGGAAGTCTGAGGACCAACAAGAATATAGAGTCGCTTCTCTGGGGGAGGTGGGCTTCGGGGGGTCCCGGGGGTCGCATGTCCCAGGATGGAGGGGGAGGTGGAGGGAAAGGGTTGTGCGTGCGGTGGAAGAAGGGAAGGAGGGGAAGTGAAGGAGGCGAAGCAAAGAGACCTGACCCCAGAATTGCACTATGGCGTCGTGGCCAATCCCTGCACCACGCCGTCTGCGAGCAGAAGTGTCCACTTCCATGCCTCAAAATCCCCTCCCTCCAATCCCTCGCATCCACTCGCTGCCCTCCGACCCCATCCCCATCCCCGTGCACTCCCCCCCCCCTTCCCCACCTCCATCCAAGGAGCCAGGCTGCCTTCCCCGCCGTTCCCAGTTCCCTCTTCTCCCCGTCTCCGGAGAGGGGAGGGGCTGGAGGGGAGGGGCCTGGGAGGAAGGACATTATTGGGGAGGAAGGAAAGAGGAAGTAGTGATGGGTGGATGGGGCGGGAGTAGGAGGAACGGGAACGCGAAGCAAGAGCAAGGAGGAATGGGAGGAGCAGCGAAGGGGAACGAGGTCCTGCTCAGTCTTCTCCCTGGCAACCTCCAGGCCATTGAACTGATCCAGCTCCGCCTAGGGCCACCCCCTCTGTCATCCTCGTCGTCGAATTCCTCTTTCCCCTCCTCCCCCCCTGCCTCCTCGTTTTCCTCTCAAAGAATTACACACATGTAGGCTGCGATCCTCTCTCCCCTGATGCAGCCTTGTGCGGGGGCGACTCCCTTTTATCGCACCGCCTCTTTCCCCACGCGCACGCACACACGCACGAACGTTCGCACGCGCACGCACGCACGCACGAACGCACGCACGCACGCACGCTGGTCCGCATGCCCACTCGCCGCACGCACGTGCACACAAACAAACACACACCACACACCAGAAACCCAAACACACGCACAAACAACAACGACCAACAAACACAACATACACACACGCGCAAACGCACACACAGAATTGTAAGTTGAAATGTTGCTCATGGTTTTTCGGTCGGAACGACAATGTGGTCCCCGCTGGTATGTTAGCCGCATTTCAAGGTTGGCGCCTCGTCCCCGTGGTTCAAATCTGCGCTCGCCCTATCGAGAGCCACATTTCTGGATCCGACTCGTTCCTCGTCGTTGCTAACCCCCGCCCTTTACCGATTCCACTTTGCCGTGGCCCGCGTGCTCCTCCGACCCCTTGTTTTTGCGATTGCTGCTCTGGCTTTGGCTCCTGCCCATCCGCACCCTCATCTTCAACGTCCGATGTAGACAACCCCCCTTAGTGTGAATGCGCATCAAAGCATGGAATCACGATGAGGGCCATGACTATCCAAGCCACCCCGTACGGGCGGATAGAACGCAAATGACCACAGTGGGGGAAGCCGGGGTTCCAAATAGGGCGCGAGCGCCACTGATGAGTTTGTCTTTCCCACACTGCCGAATCCATCCTGCCTTGTCCTCATACTCCCTCTCCTTCTCCCCTCATGCGCCCATTTTTTTTACAAGGGGAGCGACCAGGGGGAACCACCCCACGGGGCAAACATCGACTTGGCATCAGCGATGCATCGCCGATAGATCGGCGATACGCTCCCGATCGCGAGATCGAGCGATGCCAGGCGGAGTGGGCTACAGCTCGTGATGTGGAATAACAAGCCAGGCGCGTACTTAAAACGTAGTTTCCTTGCTCGGGCGAATCGCGGAGGAGTCACCCGCCAGATGAAAACACAACGCGACGGCGCTGGGGATTAGCGCAGACACCCAGCCGCCAGCTGGAGGGCGACAGGCGCGACGCGAGCGGCCCTGCTTCTGCTGGGGGTACAGCAGCGCCTCCGCTACAGCGGGGCGTATGGGCGAAAATGACCACAAGCATACAGACATGAAAAAAAAGGCGGGAGGGAAAATCACCTCACAGTTGGCGAGTGGTGCCGACGTGGCTACACACAAAACAAGACATAGGGGGGAAGCGGACAGGCAGGCGGCAACGGTTCTCCCTTTCTTTCGCCACCCCCCTCCCCATCCCCATTTCCCCTTCTCCATTGCAAGGTGCCCTATGGAAGGAGGGGTGCTGCATGGACCCGATGTAGCCGACGGCGACGATGGCGACAGGGCCGGCGACGGGACGACCGACGACGCGCGTGTTGCGGATGCCCATGGGAAGGGGGGATGCGCAGGGCCGCCGTGGACGACGACTACGACGACGACGACGACGACGACGACTACGACGACGACTGTGGCACGACAGTAATCAGCCTGAGGGGGGTGAACTTCACCTCGGATGTATACGATCCCTAGCACAACTTCTGCACGAAAGGCCATCGTTGCGAGGCTGCAGTGCAGAGAGAGGGTATGCGATCACCTCGGCGGCGCTGGCGACGACCCTCTGGCGCGCGTGATCGAACAAAGGTTCGCGCCCCGGGGGGCCCATCCATCAGCCAAGGCAGAGGGCAGGGCGGGGCGCAAGTGCCCACTCTCGGGCCCCCCTGGGAGGATTGCGGGCGACTGGGGTCGATGAGCCCCCCGAGGTCGGGCACGTCCTCCTAATCGCTGACGTTGGAAGAACAATTGTTTTTTTTATGCTTTTTGGAAAGAAGCGCACACACAAACATAGTCAACACATACTCTCAAACATCGTCCCCTGACTATGTTTTTACTATTTGGGGCTGCTTTCCTTGTAGACGGACATGCCCGACCTAACACTAACGTTGCCCCTGATGCCCACCTTCTGCAAGGTTGTCCGCCTGTGGGCTGCGTCGGACGGGAGATCACGACCCTCGCCAACCCAAGACCTCCTCTCGCTGTGAAGAAGCCACGACCCTATACGTCTGTTGCTATGTTCGGCCTCCAGGGGGGGAAGGGTCTTCTGCAGGGCCCTGGGTCCGCCAAAAAACGACCACGGGGCGAAACGCTGGTCTTGGGGAAGTGGTCCAGATCTTCGGGGGTCCATGTTAGAGGCCTTTTTTTAGACTCTGGCACGTTTACTTGCATGGAGGGGGGAGGGGCGGCTGGCGAGGCCCGAAAGGAAATCTGGATTCACGCAAGTCGGGACTCACCTGCACGCTAGTTCGGCCCAGCGCTGTTTGAAAAGGCGTCGGGAGGGAAGGGGCAGAGTGCTATTCAAGTACACTTGCCTGAGGCTGAGATGCGATGCCCCCTTGCGAACAAGACCACGACGTCGGAGGCACCAGGGGGGAGCCCTTGTGCAGGGCTGGGGAAGCCAAAACGGTGTCAACAACAAGCCGCCGTGGGGGATCCCTCTGCGTGCTGCTCTTCTGTGGACGCCCAACATGGGTACGGAATGAAAAGGTACAATGCCCAACAACAAATGTTGTCCCAAGCCAACAGCGGCCGCTGTTGGGCAGGCGGCCTTCTGCCTCGAATGGACACAGGCCGCGGTGGCGAGGACAGCGAGTCCTGTTCAAAATAACAAGATCCGCTGTTGGGCATTGTACCAATTCTTTCCGTGCCCATTTCGTTCGTGCAAATCTTCAAGAAGCATCAGGTCCGGACAGGAAACGAGGGAGTAACATTTAAACATGTGTTTGAACAATGTGTAAAGCACGTTCCGAACATGTTTCAAGCATGTTGTTACATATCTACAGCATGTTTGAAACATAATTCAAACATCTGGAAATTATTTGGCAGCATGCTTCCTCTCCATTAATCGACTTCCACAACATCTGCCCTTCCGAAGGGCCCTGGGACCATCAAAAAACGCCCCAAAGCGAAACAGATCGGCCCCGGGTAGGCGGCGCAGACCTCCGCGGGCCCGCACTGCGAGCGAATCGGGTGTTCGCTAACGGGGGGGCGGCAGTGGGCGGGGAGTGAAGAAACGTGCACACGTCGGTCGGAAGAAGTGGGTAGAAACATGAAGTAGGAAGGCGGATAAAGTGGATTGGGTCCAGGCCCTCCCAGAGAACCACAAAACACAGCAAAATCATGCCGATTCTTGAAGTAGGAAGGCACTTGAAGTAGATTGGGATCTGGGAATCCAAAAATACCCACTTTCAACGACCGGCGTGCACTTGTCGTGCACCTGTTGGTGCCCGCGGCGGCAGCGTAGGGGCCGTTTCGGGCCACTTTCCGGCAACCGCCGATCCTGGATCCCCCCCTCGTGCCGCTGACAGCTTTGGCGCATGCACGCGCATCCGCAAGCAGATCATCATGGCATCGCCGTTTTTCGGGGCATGCCCATCACAGATGCCCGACATCGAACCGCATCCTTCGCAGTAAAACGACGCGAAGATCGGGACAAAATCGGATCGGGATAACTCGAAATCTCTGAGAATCGGCGGGTTTGGAGGATGTATTGGGCGCCGCGGCCGCTCCAGAGCGTTCCGGAACGCTCTGGGAGCGCTCCAGAACGCTCTGGAGCGATGTATCCCGATCCTAGCCCTGTTTTGCGCAGACCTGGACGGCCCGTCACCGTCCACACCGTGTGCGGGCACGGGGCCGGCAGAAGACCCCAAACGACCTCCCGCAGAGAAAGGCCCAAAGACCCCTCCACGGCCGACCCCTCCACGGATATTGTACCCTCCCTCCGCTCGGGGAGGCGCAAGCATCGAGCTGCGGGGGCCGCCGTGACGACGGCGAGATCCAATCCGAACACGGACGCGAACTCCCGCTGCCAGCATCGCACGAACACAGCGGCACCGTCAACCTCGGGGACGGGCACGTCCAAGAGCGTCGGCACGCCCGAGTCCGGCGAACTCTCGGGTCTCAAGCCTCCCCGACCCTACCGTGAGGGGCAACGTCGAGGGGAGACTTGGCACGGGGGGAGACATCGGCAATACATCGCCGATAGATCGGCGACAAGCCCCCGATGGCAAATGGCGCTGTGGAGCCCCTATCGGCGATCCTTGGGTGATTGGGGGTCGATGCGCCTCCCGCTGACCCTATCCCCCCTTATCACGTTGCCCCTGGGTTTGCGGCCACACAGAACTCGCCTCCCAGGCGGCCGTTTGGAACGACTCCGCCAGCCCCAGAACGCTCTCGGCGAGGCGCAACTGCTGGAGAGCATCCCGAGGCTGGAAAGCCGCTGAGAACTCACCGAAACGCCCGGAAATTTCGCTGTCACCCACCTGAGCCCATCCCCTCTTAACGCTTCCCCTGATGTTGCCGCCCGCCCGAAGAGATCACGGCGTCGGTCGGGCGGGTGGCGATGTGGGGTGACCGAATTGGGGGGTGAAGAAAGGCCTTCCTTCACCCCCCATGTAGGCCACTCCCATTACTTACCACCCGCCCGAATCGTCGGGGATCTCCTGAGCTGAGTCAATGCAGATCCAGGCCAGTCAGGATTTGCAGGATCCTGCAAGACCCTGCGAAAATCCTGCAAGCTCCTACGCGCAAGAGCCCGGGGTCAGTGCACCCTTTGGCTCTGCAAGATCCCGCAGCATCCGGCGCTCCGGCTGACCCCCGCTTGCATTAGCTCGGGCCTGTCCCCCTACAGAGAGATCGTGGGCGAAAAATTCATCATCAGAAATACGCCAACAATGCCACACGATATTAAACATCGCCCCCATACGATTTGTTTGACTGTTTTTGAGCATTCCTCCTGTAGAGGGACTGGCCAGACTTAACGCTTGCACTGACCCTGGTCTTTTTGGACGCCCGAAGTGGGCACCGAAAAAATGGGTACAATGCCCAACAGCAAATGTTGTCCCAAACCGACAGCGGCCGCTGTTGGGCGGGCGACCTCCTGACTCGAATGGACACAGGCCGCGGCGGCGTGGACAGCGAGCCCTGCTCAGAATGAACAAGCGCTGCTGTTGGGCATCGTACCCATTCTTTCAGTACCCACTTCGGGCGTGCAGAGTCTTGAGGCCCCCGCCGCTGGAGGCCCGGGGCGGCCCCGGCTCTCTCCACGGATGGCCCCCGCGCCCCCGTGGCCGCCTGCAATGCGGCCAGCTGTTCGGCGAGGTCGTCGGCGCGCTGTCGCTCCCGGTCCGCGCGGGCCTTGCCGGGGGTGGTGGTGGGGGACACGCCGCTGCGGCGCGCGAGTTGAGCAGGGACCGACCGTCCTGGAATCCCTGTAGTCCTACCACGAGATGTTCTTAGAACCCCAAAGTATCAGTATTCGTCTTCGTATTAGTTGTCTGTTAATAGTCTTAGTGTGCTCAGTATTGGTTTTCGTGTTCGTATTCGCCTTAGTCGTCTCATGATTCGTCGTGGTCATGAAATTACTCTTACTTTTTTGAGTAGTAGTCTTGTAACTATGTTCCATCATCAACACCATCATCCTAATCATCATCATTAGCATCAGCATCATCATCAGCATCATCATCAGATCTTCATCATCATCATCATCAACATCATCGTCATCATCCTCATCATCGTCCTCATCATGAGCATCATCGTCATCAGCATCTTCATCATCAGCGTCATCAGCATCATCATCAGCAGCAACATCATCATAATCATCATCGGCATCGTCAGCATCATCATCATCATCATCATCATCATCATCATCATCATCATCATCAGCATCAGCATCAGCATCGGCAGGGCGCAGCTCGTGGGGGGGGGAGGCGCCTGTATCGAGGGGCGGGCATCGATGCAGGGAAGGAAGCTCCCCACGGGCGACCGCGGAGCCGACCAGAAGCAGTGGGGTGGCCGGCAGACTCTGGAAATCCACTCGAGCCCCCTGCTTCAGCATCGAGCTAGGTTACACGCAGGGAGCTTGAAACAACTCACAGTCAACGTGCAAATCTTTGACAAACCTGGCCACCATGACCACACACCTGTTGCAGCAAACAAGATGTCTGCAGCCAGCCTGCACACCCTTGGCAGGTTGTAGGTCAACGCTGGGTGCTATGATGCGCAACTTTGGACTACGGCTGCATTGGTCGTAGCCTCCCATGGCACACCCTGGGCGGCCAGTATGTTGACGCGGCGCCACTTTTTTCTGCAGCTGGTGGCGAGGCTACAAACATGGCCTGGGGCGTATAATGGATTCCCCCAGTGTGGTGCTCGCGGTGATTGCCCAGAAGACCCACCATGGCACAAACGTGTACGGATGTCTAAGTGACTTCGGGCTCCGCATGCGGGCACAGGCGCAGTGTTGTTTGGCCTGGCCCACTGCGAAAAAGAGAGGAATGCTGGAACCTCCCGAATCCCAACACGGCTGGCACGGCTGATGTAGCACTTCAACGTGAGGCTTCACAGCGCCCAGAATGCTGTAATCAACTTGCGCAAATTTGGTCACCATAACCGCTGTGAGGCGCCACCGGTGCTACATCTGACCGAGAAGCGAGAACTAGTACTGCTGGGCGTATTATTGAGCCTGGCGCGCAACGAGAACACAAACAAGAAGCACACGCTTCTGACCGGCGGGTGTGAACCCAACTGCCGAAGTGAAACCACGTCTCGAGACCCTCTCGGATGTTCTACTGGCCAATTTGCCGCGAGTCTTCAAAGAGACCCAAATTGAGTAAATCCGTAGGGCCGAGGCGTACACATTGGGCCACATGCATGTAGAAGTACACGCACGTGCTCATAAATTGAAGCGCCTACATACTGCGTGTTTCTAGCAAGACGCTTCAAGATGGATCTTCGACCGACAGCGCATCCGAAGTGAAGTTCCAGACGGCGCCACCTAGAACCAGCGGCTCTTGCGTCTCTGCCAGCGCCTTCTCAGCGTGCGCAAGAAATCCAGGCGAGTGAGGACGGCCTGGAACGACTGGCGCTCTAGAGGAAGGCCGCCTCTGTGATGCTTCGGCAGAAACTCAAAGAAGAAGCCACTTACGGGACGACTCCTGGTCTTCCTTCCTTGAAAACACTACCTCTGCCAAAGCTCCACTCCAGCAAACGTGAGTGCTGTCAATCAGCGACAAAGTTCCGACGGCCGATCCTGACGCCCCCTCGAATGACGCCGCTTGCATTGCGCACTGAGCTGAGCACATGTATGTCTGTCTGCCTTGGTCGCTGACCCCGACGCGCTGTACATGCTCCCCCGCCCCTTCATATAGCTGCCTGACTGGACGACACACATGACAGACATACCCAATCACAATGGGCACCACAGAAATACGTGTGTGCGCATCATTATGCATGACTGGTGCGCAGCACTGGTAGAAAATCTACCCCCGGGTGGCTGGGTGGGTGTGAAACAAGAACCAACTGGTGTGGCTGGCAGGATCTCGTGTTTCTAGAGATCCTTTCAGATTCACTGCACTTCATTCGGTCCGGTAGGCAAGCGTGTGGCCCCCGACGGCAGCAGCGAAAGAAGCGGAGTATCCGCCGACCCCTTGGGGATCATCGGCGTGTGAGATGGTTCCCCTTCCCCAAGCCCCTCCCCCGGGATCCCCGTATGGTCGATTTGGAGGGGGGGGCCATCCGGCCCGAGCTCATCAGGGGGGTCCGGCCCTTCCTGGGCTCCTTTTGGAGGTCCACGACAGCTTCTGCGGCCACCCAAAGGCCCCCAAGACAGTCCAAGAGGGCCCCGAGACACCGAAAGATCGTTGCAGGACGCCTAACATGGGCCGAAAGATCGTTCCAAGATGCCTACCATGGGCCGAAGACGGCCGAGAGGCCGCCAAGACGTTCTAAGAGGCCTCCCAGGAGGCCTCCAAGAGGCCACAATCTTCAATTTCCATTCGGACAACGTACATTTCTAGCACATGCGCTTTTTCCGCCATCACAGCGCGGAAGCCCTTCCAAGATGCCTCCAAGAACGCCCTAAGACGGCGCCATAGGCGCCCAAGAAGCCCCCAACACGCCAAAAGAGACGCCCAAAACGACCCAAAAGGGCTCCAAGACGGCCCCAAGAGCGGCCCGAAAGGGGGACCACGAAACAAACATTCCAGCCGTCCGCCCCTAGAGGCTCCCAGGAGGCCACAAGAGGGTCCAAAAAGGCGTCCAGACGCCTCCAAAAGGCCTCCAAGAGGCCCCAAGGGGGGGCCCCAAGAGGCCCCCAAGTCGGCTTCGATATACGATGGTTCGGCCTTTACAGCGCAGAAGACCCTCCCAGATGCATCCAAGACCGCCCTAAGACGGCCCCATAGGCTCCCAAGAAGCTCCCAACACGACACAAGAGGCGCCCAAAACACGGCCCAAGAGGGGCCCGAAAGGGGGACCACGAAACGAACATTCCAGCCGTCCGCCCCTAGAGGCTCCCAGGAGGCCACAAGAGGGTCCAAAAAGGCGTCCAGACGCCTCCAAAAGGCCCCCAAGAGGCCCCAACAGGCCCCCAAGAGGCCCCGAAAGGCCCCAAGAGGCCCCCAAGTCGGATGTCCTGAGGCTTCCCCTCGGATCGTCCTAGACAGCCTCAGAGCCTCTCAAAGCCGTCCCAAAACAACCTAGGAAGCCCCCAAGCAGACTCAAGGTGCTGAAGAGGCCACCCAGCCACGTTGCCACAAGCCCCGAAAGGCATCTCACGGGACGCCATGATCCATCAGGGTGGCCTCGGACCCACGAACCAAGCACGATGGCGGGATGGCCCGAACGCAACAGATCGAAGGTTAGGGGGTCTGACCGCAAGTGCCCCCAACCAAGAAATCGGTTTCGGTGTCACTTCATGTCGTGCCTGGGGTTCTCCCGATGGTTGTCCTGATGGTTGTCTGGATGGTTGTTCCGGTATTGCCCTACAAGACCCCAGGACCGTCGGAGATCGATCGGACATGAAGAACTGCACCGGATGGACCACAGGAGCGGCCCTGGGCTGGACCCCTGAGGCCTCCAATAGGCTTCCCCAAAAGACCCCAAGCACAAAGAGCGAAACATGTATGATCGCGGGCTCCGGGCCCACGGGCCCCCCTACCCCCCCCTCAGATGGGATGGGTCCCAGGGTCCTCGGGCCCCCCCTCCAGATGGGATGGGGGGAGGAGGAGGAGGAGGAGGAGGAGGAGGAGGAGGAGGAGGAGGAGGAGGAGGAGGAGGAGGAGGAGGAGGAGGAGGAGGAGGAGGAGGCGGAGGAGGCGGAGGACGACGACGACGACGACGACGACGACGACGACGACGGCGGCGGCGACGACGACGACGACGACGACGACGACGACGACGACGACGACGACGACGACGACGACGGACGACGGACGACGGCGGACGACGACGACGACGACGACGACGACGGACGACGACGACGACGACGACGACGACGACGACGACGACGACGACAACGCCGACAACGACGACGACGACGACAACGACGACGTCGACGGCACCGGCGGCGGCGGCGACGACGTCGAGCACGGGAGCTTTCCGAAAGCATGTCAGCATGACGCCACAATCACAGCCACACGCACACCCACACCACACCCACAGGGGGGGAAGGGGGGGAGGACATTGGGTCACCCCACACACACACACACCCACAGCAACATACCACACCCACACCACATCCACAGGGGGAGGGGGGGGGACCATCGCGCGGGGGGGGGGAGCCCGATGGCATTAGCACTGGAGGGGGGGCCCAAACTCTCGACCATATATTTTCTGCATGTTCGCCATTTGACCCCAGGAGGGCTCCAAGACGGCAAAACAAACACCAGGAGAGCTCCAAGACGGACAAAGAGACTCCCAGTCAGCCGGACGGAGAACCGGAACAGACACTTCGAACCTTCGGCTCCAAGACGCCCCCAACGTGCCCCAGGGACCCCCAGGAAGCCCCCCCAAAAAACAAAGGGGTCGGCGGTGAGGCGTAAGCCTAAGAATCATTGCTGCACCCGCCCGGCACTCCCTTGTCATTTCAAACACCTGCCAAGCAGTCGAAGCGAGCACCTACGGGCGTGGCATCGCGCTGTCACCTGGCTTGCTGCCACGCGACGAGCCCCGCCAAAGCCTGCGCCCCTGGCTGTGCGGTCGGCATCTCCGCAGCGAGCTGCAGCTGCGGCACCACGTGCTGGTGACCTGGGGCGAAGGTCTCGTACGGCGCAATGAAGGCAGACTGGCAGGGGTAGACCCGCCCACACGCGGCTGGCCAGCCAGACGGAGCCGACTGACGCTGGCCGAAGGGCCCGTCTGCCGACACCTGGGGACGGGCCCCCGCGCACGCCGAGAACGTGCCCGGCGGCCTCGGCAGCGGCCTCCGCTGGGCGGCCCTCTCCGCGGCGGTGCTGCCGCACCGCGGGGGTGCCGCTGGGGCTCGACAGACTGGCGAGGCAGCTGGCGAATCCCGCTTGGTGAAGACGAGCCGGCGAAAATCCAACCAGCCCTTTGGGCGACGGGTGGTCTAACGAGGGCCTCTTTCCTCTTCCACGGCCCCTCTTCCCTTCAGGGAGGGGAGCCCTCCCCCTCCCCTCCCTGAGGTTTGTTGGGCGGGGCTGCGAGGTGTCAGAGGGTCTCTTTTCGGCCCCTGGGAGGGCCAATTTTTGACACCTCTCACGAGGATCGTGGCCCCCAAGGGCGGGACGAACATCGAATGACCCCCCACTTTTGACCGGCCGCCTCCAAGATGGTTCCTAGAGGCCTCCAAGAGGCACCCGAGAGGCCTCCAAGAGGCCCCGAGCAGCCTCAGAGAGCCCAAGATGACCTCCACGATGGCTCAGATAGCCCAAGCTGGCTCAAGATGGCTCCCACGATGCTCCAAGCGGCCCCGAGACCGCTCCAAGACGGCTCGAGATGGCCACGACGCCTCCCAAGCCTCCCTCGCTGTTGACTATGCGTGTCTCTTCCTCTCCCCCCGTCAACTCTCATGGGCATCGTTTCTGGATGGGCTGGTGGGGATACTTTTTATTCGCGGCCCGCAAGGAGAAGTCCAGAGGGCGGTATGACCGAGGCTGGGGCACAGCGACAGATAATTGGCGCGACACCGCGCAGAGTGCACCTGAAGATAATTAGAAAGAAGCGGCCACGGTTCGACGACGACGACGACGACGACGCAAGAGCGCGCGCGCACGCTTTTGTTGAAAGTCCGAATCCAAATCCGAGCGCTGGTGGGGATACGCGAAGCGTCAAGAATTTGGGTTCCGGATGCCAACGGTGCGCTCCGCCATCGCGATGTTGGCTTCGTACCCCTGGATGTGCGCGGCGGTCACCTGCAGGGCCTTGCCGTCGGCTTGGTCTGGGAGTCGGTACGTTCCGTGCCACATCTTCTTGAAGCACCGCGTTAAGGTCGGTGACTTGAAATTCACGAATGCGTACCCCTTGCTGGCGCTGGTCCCGAAATCACATGGCATATAGCAGAAGTCGTACGTATTCAAGAAACCAGTCGTATCCAGCGCGTGGATCAGCATATCCGTTTTGCACCCAGCTGGCACGTTGCGCAGCATCACCGTGGTGATGCTCTCGTCGTCCTTGCTCGTGGTCACCTTGGCCATCATGGCTTGGGTCACGCGTGCCTTGCGACCACGGCACCTGCGAGTCTGCACGCGAGCCTGCTGCTCCACGCGGGCCGACTCCTGCGGCGCACAGAGCTCGTCGGGCCCACGGGCCGCTGCGCCTTGTTCGGCCTTCCGGCAGGCGGCGCGGAGTGCGGTGTAGTCGCCAAACTCGCTGCCAGTGTCTGGGTATAGCTCCACCGTGCTCCCCCTCGTCGGGGGCGGCCAAGAGGGGGGCGTCCAAGAGGGGGGGGGGGCGCAAATCATGGCCAGCGGCACGTGCGCGGCCCACTGGCCATCACTCGGACGTCCATTTCCTGTGTTTCTTTCGGTTTCGTGCGTGGCTTTTTCGCAGGATGATCCAGGATGTTCCTTAAAGAATCCCCGCCGAGAAAAAGTACACACATCCGAGATGTCATGGCCCCCGCCACTGGCCATCACTCGGACGTCCGAGCGACACCAAAGCCATGAGATCCCCCCCCCCCCCCCGGCAACACCCCCCTCTTTGCCGCCCCCGACCTCGGGCTGCTCGGAGCCTCCGAGGCCTGGCTGCTCGGCGCCTCCTTGGTGGGGCCCCCCGATCCCGCGGGGGCGCACGCCGCACCCGCCGCCGCTGGCGACGGGGCGCGGGCCTCGCAGCCGCGCTCCGCCTCCGGCTCCGGCTCGGGGCCGTCGCGGGAGGGCGTGTGCCCCGAGCAGGTCTGGAGGCTGCGCGGCAGCACGAGCGGCGCAGGGCGGGGCTCGGCGTGGGTGAGCGCCATCGGTCCGCGTCGGGGGCGCGGCGCGGGTGCGGCTCCTTGAGCGGGTGGTGACAGGCGACGGGCCTGCGACAGTAGCCGCAGATGCTCTGCCAAAGAGCCAGAACGGCGAATTACGGACATGCATCGAGGGGCAGGAGCAGGTGGAAGGGGTGAGGGCGAAGAGGAGGGAACGGGAGGAGAGCTCTGGAGGCGGCGCGCGAGGGCGCAGCTCGGGGAGGGAGGCGCCTGCATGGAATGGCAGCCCCCTTTACTCGAAGAGGGAGCCTGCGTGCTGGAAAAGGCGTAATGCGTAGCACCCCGCAAATGCGGATAAGAGGGAGGGGGCGGTGGGAACGTCGGCAGTCTGCGAGCCTGTGGAGAAACCCGCCGCAGGCGCCAAAGTTTCACAAATTATACAACAAGCCCGCCGCAGGCGCCGATTCTTCCATCAAACCAATGTGGGTAGGTCGTGGATGGGTCGCAAATGGGTCGCGCCTGGGTCGCGGGGTGGGTGACTGGTGGGTCGCGGGTGGGTCGTGGGTGGGTCTTGGGTGGGTGGCGGGTGGATCGCGGGGTGGGTCGCGGGGTGGGTCGCAAGTGGGTCGCGGGTGGGTCGCGGGGGGGGTCGCGGGTGGGTCGCAGGTTGGGTCGCGGGTGGGTCGCGGGGTGGATCGCGGGGTGGGTCGCGGGGTGGGCGACGACAACAATCACCATCACCATCAACAACAACAACAACAACAACAACAACCACAACCACAACCACAAGAACAACAACAACAACAACAACAACAACAGCAGCAACAACAAACAACAACGAACAACAGCAACAACAACAACCAACAGCCAACAAACAACAACCAACAACCAATAACCAACAAACAGCAAACAACCAACCACAACAAACTAACTAACTAACTAACTAACTAACTAAATAACAGCAACAACGGAAAGGCGTGCACTCCGGCCACGGTCAGGGCCTGAGCCTCCGGTGTCACTCCGCCGGTCCCAGAGGATCCCTAGATCCCGAGAAGGGATATTTTATGTAAAACGTAGGTTTTTACATATCATCATCCATCGGGATCTGAAGCACATGTATCAAACAAAAGAGGATCTAACCGTAAACGGCTAGCATTTGTCGACACATACATGACTAGTAGATTGGCTACTTCCACCCGTAATGGCCAAACCGTGCCGCACTCCTAGGGATGAGGTGTGCGTCCAGACGTGTAGAGGCTGCACAGACGCTGGATTCCTTGTATCCCTGTTTGCTGGAGGTCTTTTCACACGCCCACGTCGGAGTTCTTACGCGCCTACGTCGGAGTCCTCTCACGCGCCTGCGTCGGCCGTGGGAGGCCGATCAGGCCTGCCACCTCAGCCCACCCCGTCCTCCTCGCGGCCGTGTTGGCTCGGGCTCTTGAGAGCTCGTTTTTGTTTTCGACGTTTCTCCCATCACCGCCGAGTTCTGCGGCGACGGCCCCGCCTCGGGGGCCAGACCAGAGGCGCCGCCTCACGGGCAAGACGTCCAGCCCGCTGCGCCCAGCGGCGCCCCCGACGCCAGAGCCCGACGAATCCCTGGCCAGCTGCTTCTTCGACTCGGACGACCCTCGCTCCTCGCGATACATTGGCAGGCAGCCCGAGTCCACGCTCCGCCAAGGCGGCGGCGACGACGGCACGCAGTGGGACTCGGCCCCCGAGCCGACGGAGCAGGCCAAGGCCTCGACCGAGGAGCAGGACGCCGCAAAGGCCATCCGGGCGCCTCTCGAGGAGGCCGAGCGCACGGGGAGGTACGCGGACCCCACTCCTGACCCCCACGCCGCCCACTCCTGGGATCGCGGCGGCGTTCGGACGATCGAGATCCCCGACAGCCCCGATCCTGCATCGGCGGGGGCTGGCGCGGCAGGGGCCACGTGATAGGCCTGACACCTGGCCAAAGAACCGTCGCTGCTGACTGCGTACGGACCCCATCCGTCGACGTCCTCCAGGACACTCTGGAGCGGATCGGAAGGCCTCCCCAAAGGGTGGTCCGAGCAGGTGGGGTCGGAGGACCGCGCCGCGACGCCGATACGTCGCTGATGCATCGGCGATGTCGACGGTGCGACGGCGCCGTCGGCACGGAAAAAACCGGGCTCCGCAACGAGCCGCATCGCCGGTGCATCGGCGATACGGTGCGATCCTCCGACCACGTCTAATCGAAACCCATCTGGGAAGCTCGGAATATCACTACGGCTGATTCTTGTCATGACGACCCTGGCATTGGTATCTGATACCGCGCGGATCGTTCAACCGTTAACGATCGGCCGTCTCCGAAACGTAGGCTCGATCAAAATCAACCGACTATGGGTCGCCGGCGGCGTTCAACTCTGAACGCTGGCGGCGAAATCGCCACTCGCCGACACGACGCGACCCTGCCGTATATGGAAAGCTCGGGCTATCATTAGGTAGGGCATGCCACCTACAGGCGGATGTTGGGCGAGAGATAATCAAACAATATACAACAGTGTTTACATACATATATATATATAAATATATATATATATATATATATATATAAATGTGTGTGTGTTCGTAAAACCGCCACTAGATATGTTTAAGCTATTTTTGGAGATTCCTCCTGTAGAGGGACGTGCCCGACGTAAGGCTATCACTACGCGTCGTTCATTTCTAATCGTGCTAATTTCTAAGTGTGCTCGTTTTTAATTGTTCCTGGCCCCCTAGTGGCCAGGAAGAGGCCCAGGATAGAACAATTAGGAATGAAAGGATCTTGGTCCTTCAAAAAATCAGAGAACTTCCGAATAATTAGAAATGAACACTGTGTACCACGACTTCCTTCGCTCCTCTGCGGCGCGACGCCCCCGCTCGGGCGTCTGGCGGGGCTGGGCGCGCCCGCTCGGCGCTCAGCGCGACCGCGAGCTCGCCCTGCGCCGTCTGCGCCTGGCTGCCCACGACGGCCCGCGACGGCCGCCTTTTGTCGCTGTAGTCGGTGTAGCTCCTGGTGCGGGGAGCTCGCCATCGCTCGGACGTCCATTCCTCTTGTATGTTTCGATATCGTGCGTGTTTTTTTTTTTCGCCAAGTCATCCAGGATGCTCCTCCATGGTCCTCGCCGAGGAAAAATGCACACGTCCGAGAGATGCCAAGGGGAGGGGGGGTTACGAAGCAACGAGGGAGGGGTACGAAACAGCTCCTGGGTTATGTTGCTCCCATCGTACTTAAGGACCACATCCCAAACATACTGTCGAGCACCCGGAAAAGTGTCGAAAGAGTATCGAAAGAATGTCGAAACAGTGTCGGGCGAGTGTCCCCCGGGGCCCGACACGTGAAAAGCATAGAGTTTCGGTATTTGAAGTTGGGTGCTCGAAGTTCTTTCTGGTGATCAAGGCTGGAAACCATCCTGGGGTTGGAAGGGGGGGAAAATCGGGGGTGGGGAGGGGGGGTGGGGAGGGGGGGTTACGAAGCAACTCCTGGGAGGTCCTCGTGAGAAAGATTCGGGGCGCTGTAAGTCCGATTGCGGGGCCATGGGGCCGCGCTTTCTGCCCGCGGGCAGCCATCGCAGATGCGGACTTCAACCCACAAGGCACCGCATCCTGATTAGTACGGAGGAAGCGGGTCCTGGAGGATCGGAGGGCATTGCAGGCAGCAGGGGAGAGAACTGGCCATCGCTCGGAAGTTCATTCCCTGTGATTTGTTTCGGTTTCGTGCGTGGCTGTTTCGCAGGATGATCCAGGATGCTCCTTAATAACTCACGCCGAGAAAGAGTGCACACGTCCGAGCGATACCAAGAGAAAGACGAGAGTGGGGGGGGGCAAAGCATACAGCAGGGGCCCGACCACGAGAAACCTTCCACAAGAAACCCGACCCTGAGACCCCAGGACGGCCATTGATTTTTGGTGTGGGAACGCCGCGCCTTCCACATCCAAACCATCGAAAGCCAGGAAGCCAAGGGCACTCTGGAGGCAAGCAGGGTGTCTCTGGGCATGGGCCTCCACTGTAACGCGCCGCCCCAGTGTCTCCTCCCCCCCTCCCTTCACCCCTCGTTGCCTCCTCCGGGGGCGTCCAGGGAAGCGGGCGTCCAAGGAAGGGGGCGTCCTACAGGGAGCCCACAGGGCATGGCCAGCGGCATGTGCGCGGACGAGGGCGGGCCATGCTACGTGCTGACACGGGAATAGGCACCGTGAGACCGGCCAGGGCCCCCCGAGGCAGCCCACACGGGCCCCCACACGGCCAAGGAGGGCCCCCCCGACGGTCGAGAAGGGCCTCTAGGAAAACCCGGAGGCGGCCAATAACAGGGACTGGCCTCCCATTCCTATCGTATCGTGTTTCCCCCTTCCGTGCTCACAACTGCTGCAGAAGCTGGGACCCCGAGGGGTCGGCAAATTCGGACCTAGTCGTAGGACCCCTACACATGCGATAGGTTCGATTCTTCACATGGGGCTGTGTCCGGATTTCCTATCACACGAATGGCTTTGCATCCCTATGACGTACAAACGCACGTATGCATAATGTTTGACTTGGTTATCCCACGCGTGTCTTGACTGAATCTTCATTCTGAACATGATATTTCGTGCTTCACGTGCAACTCGCCATGTCTCTGTGTTTGCCTTCGGACAGTTAGGCCGTTCGTACCTTGCATCGCATGCATTGGAAGGCGGGTTTCCAGAACTGCGCCCAGCGAAGCGCCGACGGATCAAACAATATGTCCAGTAGAACCCTACAGGCACTCAAGGACCACTAAAGCCCAAACAAGCTTTCGCAAGATTCCCAGCAAGCCCTCTAAAGATGAGGCCGCGCAATAACATCTGAAAATGGTAACAGGGAGCGTGCAGAAATGAAGAGGGGCCATGCGAGACAAGTGATGCATAACATGCTCGTAACAGCGATGGTATCTCTCTCTCTCTCTCCTTCGGTCTCTCTCTCTCTCTCTCTCTCTCCAGCGCCCTGCCTGCCGCCTGCGCGCCGATCCTGAAGGGCCAAGGTACATGTCGCGAGGCGCCAATGCAGTCTTGTGACTCTCTCTCTATATATATGTATACAGATGCACATATACATCGAGTAACCTTTCGTATGCAATCTATGTGGTGCAACAGTGCAACATACGTTGTGCAATCCATGTGTAGCAACTTTTACGGCGGCGACGGCGACGGCGGCCACACAGACACCAGACCGCCATTCAGACACAGACGACGGGCGGCGAAGCGGCGGCGAAGGCGGCCAAATGGCCGCCAGACCGCCATTCAGGCCCAGACGACGGGCGGCGAGGACGCGGCGACAGCAGCCACATAGACGCCAGACCGCCATTCAGGGCCAGTTCCCTACAAGTCGGAACACCGTCTGGGGAATAAATACCTGTACATTGTGCACTACTGGGCAGGAGCGGAAGAGGGACAAACATCTAACCATGTGCAAACTACACGTATATATACAGAGAGAGGGCACACAAACACGAGAAAGAGAGAGAGAAAGAGAGAGGACGAAGGGAACTTACACACACAAACTACATATATATATACATATATAAATATATATAGGTATACGCTTGCATACATAAGGAGGCAGCAAGGTGCGTGGTAGTATAGAGTTCTTCCACATATAGAAAAGAACAGGCACAGAGATAGAGATGATATATATATATATATATATAGAGAGAGAGAGAGAGAGAGAGAGAGAGAGAGAGAGCGGCCCGGACCTTCGAAAACGCATTCAATATGTATTATGATTCCCAGGCCACTCCTCCCGGGGACCCGTCTCTCACCCCCGGGGCCTCCGATCCCGAAGCGAGGTGGCCTGCCAACTGGCCCTGGCGGGCCGAGCCCCGGACGGCGCACGGAAGAGCGCCTGGGCAGACCGAGCGGGGCGGGCGAGCGGAGAGACAGGCTATGCACCAGGCGGCACGAGGGCACGAGCACGAATCCGACATTGATGCGAGCGACGATCAGAAACGGGTTCTGCGCGAGATGACACACCGACCTTACGCCGCGCCCGCGCGGGCCGCCAGCGCGGCACGCTACAGCAGAGAGGGGGGCGCTTCCGCGTGACCGTGCGCGGGCACCTTTACGCGGGAATGTCGTCGCAGACGACCCCACAGTTTGGCACGAGCACAAACTGAAAATCCGCCGACCCCGTCGGCGTGTGTGAGGGGTTTGTCCGTTCAAACCGTCATCTCCGTCATTCGTTGGTCGTCGTCTCTGTCGTCCCCTTTCCCTGCCTGCCCCTTTCCCTGGGCTCGTCGAAGCTCCCCCTTTCCCAGGGACACACCGTAATTTAGTCGAAGGGAAGCCCCTTCCCTTCGATCCCTCCTCCGCCGGGGGGGGGGTCCCCGGAAAGCTCTCTCGGAGGGGGTCCGGGGGGGGGGGGTCAGATACGACGCCCCCCTGGAGAGTCCCAGAGCCCAAAAAAGCCCCAAGACGGGTCAAGAGTGCCCCAAGAGGCCCTAAAGATAGTCCAAGAGAATCCCGAATCGCCGAACGATCTGTCCAAGACGCCTTGACGGCCTCCAGACGGCCCAAGAAGCCTGCAAAGCGTCCCAAGAGGCCTCCAGGAGCTTTCCCACGAGAGCCCCAAGAGGCAAAACTCATGCATTCCCCACACGTTTTTAACAGATGTTGGCGTTCTTGCCTCTTCCGCTTCCCGACGCGCCAAGACGGCCCACGAGGCCCCCCAGATCGCCCCGAGACGGCCCAAGAGGCCCCCAAGAGGGTCCCCTGACGGCCGAAGAGGGCCCCAAGACGGCCCAAGACGCCTCCAAGACGGCCCAAGAGGCTCCCAAGATTGCCCCAAGACAGCCCAGGAGAGCCCCAAATTGCCAAGGAGGCCTCCAAGAGTGCCTCGAGACGGCGCAAGAGGAGCCCTGGACGGCCCAAGACGGCTTCAAGAGAGCCCCAGGCTGTCCCAAGAAAGCCTCTGGCCTCCTCCTCCTCCTCCTCCTCCTCCTCCTCCTCCTCCTCCTGCTCCTCCTCGTCCTCCTCGTCCTCGTCCTCGTCCTCGTCCTCGTCCTCCTCCTCCTCCTCCTCCTCCTCCTTCTTCCTCCTCCTCGTCCTCCTCTCCTCCTCCTCCTCCTCCTCCTCCTCCTCCTCCTCCTCCCCTCCCCCTCTGATCCCCCTCCTACTGCTCTACTCTGCCTCCTCCTCCTCCTCTTGCTTCTCCTCCACACCCTTCTCCTCCCTCCTCCTCCCTCATCCACCTCCTCCACCCTTCCTCCACCTCCCACTCCTCCTCCTCCTCCTCTGCCCCCCTCGTTTTCATCTTCGTCGTTCTCAGGGTCGGCGGCACCGGCCGTAAGGCCTTCGCAATAGTGCGTCCTCCTTTTCGAAAGAACAGAAAATCCGCCTGGTCTCCCCCCTACTGAGTACGCCGGCAAGCGATGCCATTTCGTAAATGCACCCAAGGAAAGAATCGAACAGGGCACGGCCGTTTAGTAAACGCCCACGGCCCTTTAGTAAACGTCAGTTATCGGGGTCGGGGTGGTTCTTCATCCCTTGCTATTCGGACGTACGACATGGAAAAATATGAGACATACCACTTTGATCGACGTAGCCCAAGGATCAACAAACACCTGGCCTGCGCTTGCCCCATGAGGAGGAGGAGTTCCGGCCAGAAATCGACCAAACAAAAAACCGTGGCGGCGAGAGCGCCCTGGGAGGCCCAGAGCTGGCAAAAAAACGCACGAAAGCCTCGATCCCGAAACTAGGCACTTCGGAAAGAAACTCCCTGTCCCTTCGGCGTAGACTTTGCGCGCGCGGGCCGCGACCGTGGACAGGGCCATGCTCCTGCTTATGGCGCTCGCCTCCCACCCGTCGTCCACCCTGCGGAAGTTGGTGAAGCATTCCTTTGCGGCTGTCGCCGCCGCTGGCCGATCGTCGCCAGTCGTCGACGTCGTCGTCGTCGTCGTCGTCGTCAGCGGTCGTTTGTTCTTGGTCATCGTCGTTCGTTTTCGTTGTCGTTCGACGCCATTCGTCGTCAGCCGCCGTCAGTTGTCGTCATCTGTTGTCGCCGTCGTCGTTCGTCAATTTTCGACGTCGTCGTCGTCATCGTCATCATGCGTCGCTCGTCGTTCCCGATCGCTGGCGTGGGATGAGCGGGGCGCCCGCAACTCGTCGATCCAAGACGATCGAGCTTCGAAGCTGAAGAAAACTCAGGGCCTTTTCAGGGAGCGTCTGAGCCCCTCGTTCGAGGTTCGAGGCTCAAAGATGAGACGACCGAGGCCCAAAACTAGATTTTGGTCGGGCATGTCCTCCTACAGGCGGATATTGGAAGAAAATGCAAAATCCACCGACCCTGTCGGCGTGTGTGAGGCGCTTCTCCGTTCGCGTCGTGCTTCCTTTCCTGCTCGACTTTCTCTAGCTGCATCCAGCTTCCACTCACCGTTCTCCCGCTCTCCGTCGGAAGAGTCCTCTTGGTTGCACATGCCATGCCAAGCAATTGATTGAACGCCCCTTCCCTTTTCCCTTCCCCGGTGCGGGGGGAGGGGCCGGACCCGGGGGGGTCCCGGGGGGGTCCCGGGGGGGTCCCGGGGGGGTCTCAGGGGGGACACGGGCCCCCCCCAAAAATCCGACTCCCCGGGCAGCCTTCATCGTCATCATCATCATCATCATCATCATCATCATCATCATCATCATCATCATCATCATCATCATCATCATCATCATCATCATCATCATCATCATCATCATCATCATCATCATCATCATCATCATCATCATCATCATCATCATCATCATCGTCGACATCATCATCATCATCATCATCATCATCATCATCATCATCATCATCATCATCATCATCATCATCATCATCATCATCATCATCATCATCATCATCCTTGTCCTCTTCTCCGACTCCTGCTCCTTCTCAACTCCTCCACCTCCTCCATCTCCTCCTCCTCCTTTCTCTTCCTCACCTTGTTCCTTCTTCTCCTCCTCCTCCTCCTCCTCCTCGTCCTCCTCCTCTTCCTCCTCCTCTTCCTCCTCCACCTCCAAATCCTGCTTCTATTCCTTCACCTCTTCCTTCCTTCTCCTCTTCTTCCTGCTCATCCTCCGAATCCTTCTTCTCATCCTCCTCCTCCTCCTCCGCCTCCTCCTCGTCCTCCTCCTCCTCTTCCTCCTCCTGCTCCTCCTCCTCCTGCTGCTCTTCCTCCTCTTCCTCCTCCTCCTCCTCCCTCTCCTCCTCCTCCGTCTCCTCCTCCTCCTCCTCCTCCCTTTCTTCCTCCTCCTCCTCTTTCCTCCTTCTCCTCCTCTTCCTCCTCCACCTCCTCCTCCTCCTCCTTCACCTCCACCTCCCTCCTCCTCCTCCTCCTCCTCCTCCTCCTCCCTCCTCCTCCTCCTCCTCCTCCTCCTCCCTCCTCCCACTCCTCCTCCTCGTCCTTGTGCTCGTCCCTGTCCTCCTCCTCCTCGTCCTCCTCCTCTTCCTCCTCCTCCTCATCCTCCTTCGCTTCCTCCTCCCCCTCCTAGCCCCTTCGATCAGGGTCGGCGGCACCAGCCGTCAGACCTCTCCAATAGTTGAAAAATGTGCAATGTGCAAACATGGTAGAAACATCATAAAAACACATCGCCCCCGAACTATGTTTTGATAATCATGTTTGAAGATTCCTCATATAGAGGGACATCTCCGACTTAAAACTAAAACGTGCTTTCTCTCTCAGGGCCTCCGGGAACATCTGGGGGCCTCCAAAGACCCCAGGGGGCTCCTCCCTGGGCGCCTCCTCTGGGTCACGAGACGGCCTGCCTGAAACCACAATTTCTATGGTGGCTAACCGTGTCAACAATGTGCTCCGCGACACAGGTCGTTCGGCCAAAGGCACCAAAACGCCGACCTCCGCAAAATAAATGCACGCGCAAACGGAAACATCTACAATGGTGTCGGAACCCAGCGGGGCCCGCTCCGTGGTCTTTGATTTTGCGTTGAAGAAACACGGCCAACGTTACTGCACCATTCGAGGTCCCGAAACGCTCCAGCTGGGGATGTCCAACTTGAGAAATTGCACACGTCGGGTCTCAGAACAATCTCCGCTGGCCGCTCGGGCACGCCCCCGGCCACTGGCCTGGGCTTCATGAGGCCTGCTACCCGTGGGGGTCCCGGAGGGGGAGAAGACAAGGGAGTAGGAGGAGCTCTACTTGCAAGAAAAGCGGACTTCTCTCCTCGCAAAGAAGCTTGCGCAGACAGAACCTCGCACTCACTTACTTGCCGTTCATTCTTTGGCAACACGCACCATCATATCTGCGGTGACTTGTCGTTTGGTTATGCTTAAGTTGGAGGGGCATTGCACACTAAGGAACGTGCTGTCGTACAGTGCGGACGCGGCCGCAAGAAACCCTCGCAAAAAAGCCCAGCCCTGAAAACCCGCGCGCGAGATGCACACGGGGGGGACCCGGAGCACCCTGAACGCAGCAGCTTCTTCAACGGCCGCAGGGAGTTATCGCGCAGCGCGCGGAGCGAAGAAAACCAGGGTACCCTAACGAATAGCGGATGGTTTCTTGATGCGCGTCCCCACTGTACCTGGCGGGCGCCTCCTCTTTTTTCCCATTCTTTCCGCCGCATCATTTTCCAGTGTTTCCCGCGCGCCCGCCAGTGCGCCGAGTCGGATTGCCTGATTTCAAGAACGCTGCAGCTGCTCACCTCAAGTCTGATCAACGTCAACAAAGGAGGAGGAGGAGGAAGACGAGGAGGAGGAGGAGGAGGGTTGGTGGCGTGCAGCAGGGGGCGTCACGAGGAGAGGCTTCCTCCTCCGCCTCTTCTTAGCTCTTGTCGTCGTCGTCGGCGGGGGCGGCAACGACAGGTAGGCAATCGTGGGACCTCCAGGAAGCCTCCTCAAGGAGCCGGGGGGCCTCTTGAAACCCCCTCCTTCCTTGGAAGGCCTCCCTCCTCCTCTCCTCCTCCTCCTCACCTCCTCCCCCTCCTCCTCCTCCTCCTCCTCCTCCACGGGCGCTCACGGCGACAAGACAGTACTGGAAACCGACCAAACGGAGAGAAAAAGCCAAAACCGACCGAGGCCGATGGCCCCAGCGCAGCCTAGAAGGGCGCCGCGATGGCCTGAACCGATGCTCCGAAACCGACGGCATCGGATGCCTCCTTCTGGTCGGCGGCGTGCCCGGGAGGAGGGCAGAGGGGGGCCTGCTCAGATCGGGGGCGCGCAGGCATGGATTAGCGATCCATGGACTTGGCGCGCGGTCGCCAAATCGATGGATCGGGGGAGGTGCCCTCCCCCAAGTGCGGCCGGTGCAGCCTCGTTCGGAGGCGGAACTCCGCGATTTCCCATGGAAGCGGGACCCGTCGTTAAGCCACACCCCCTGGATGCATGTTTGCGATGGCCTGATCAGAGGGCTCAGAAGGCCTCCTTGTGAGAAGCTTCCTCAACCTTCTCCGAGGCCACGGAGGGCTTCTGAGAGGACCAGCGGGCCTCTGAGACGCCCCGCGGCCCTCTGAGAAACCCTGCCCCCTCTGGGAGGCCCCGTGGCTTTCGGGCTCTCTGGTGGCCGTCCTGGACGATCTGGGCTCCCGCCTTCAAACGCCCTCGGCGAGGCGCATCCGCTGGAATGCATCCGAGGCCGCAAAACGGCCGAGGACCAACGAAAACACCAGAAAATCTCTGACCTCGAACCCGAAACTTCCCCACTCGGCGCTCCGCTGGTTTCAATTATCCCTCCTCCTCCTCCTCCTCCTCCTCCTCCTCCTCCTCCTCCTCCTCCTCCTCCTCCTCCTCCTCTGTTCCAACCGACTTTCGTCTTGATCACCGGAAAGAATGTCGAGCGCAAGAAAAGTACCCCCCAAAACTCGAGGGTTTTCACGTGTCGGGCCTGGGAAACACTGTTTCGACACTCTTTCGACACTTTTTCCGAGTGCTCGAAACGATGTATGGGATGTGGTCCGTACGATGGCAGCAACGTAATCCTTGTCCTCCTCCCCGCCCTCGCCGTCGGCGGCGGCGAGGTCGGCCCCGGGACGTCGCGTGGACAGGCGCGGGGCGTCGCGCGGGCGCGGCGGACGCTCCTCGACAGCCTTCTCCAGATCGTCCATCTGCGTCTTCTGCGCCTGTGTCGGGTCGGGCGAGGAGGGGGAGTAGCACAAAGGACATAGATCGGCGGTGGACAAACCTCTCTTTAGTAAACCTCCCCTTAATGAAAACGGCCTGGGGCCGAAACCGACGGACCTGGACCCGCAAAAATGACGGCCGCGACGCCCTCTCGCGACCCGAAAGCGGTCAATTCCTCAATCGACGTGTCAGGGTAGGAGGTCTGTCCATCCCCGAATAGAACAACAAAACCCTGCATAAGCATCAATGACACCCTTGCGGCATAAGACCCCAGGCAGCCTCACATAATCAGTGGGGACCACGAGGGGCAGGGAGGTCACGGGAGGCCACGGGAAGCAGCGTCGCCCGACCTACTCCGGATCCAGCAACGCACCCAGCGTCGCCCGTGGCGCGCTCCGCGTGCCAGGGACGGGGACCCTTCGCCGACCTCAGGGGCGATCTCACATCTTTCGGGGAGAGGTGAGGGGCCCAGGGACGCACAGACTCGCTGGTGGCCCAACGGGCCAAAGGCGCGCTGAGATCTTCGGCAACAGGTCGACAGCCTTCTACTTCGCGCGCGCGTGGCGGCCCCTAGGGGGCCCCGGAGCGAAACGTATCCACGGGAAGGTCTGGGCAGATCCCCGGCAGGGTTCCATCAGAGACGCCAGATGTCTGTAGTGGAACAGAAAGGGGCATAAACAGAAAAACTCGGAGGTCCGCGCGGATTTCTCGGATCGGCGTTGGGGCCCCCCAGCGGCGCCTCCGGCGCCGCCCCTGGCGCGCTCCGCGCGCCAGGGAGGGGGGTCCAGCGCCGATCCGAGAAATCCGCGCGGACCTCCGAGTTTTTATGTTTATGCCACTTTTTGTTCCCCTAGTCTTGGGCGCGGCCCTCGAGGGCCTCCAGAGCGATCCAGGAGCGGCCCAAGGAGCCGCCCGGTAGGTGGCAGGCCCCACGGCCTGAGGCCACGAGCGCTCTCCAAGACGGCCCCAGATGGCCTCCAAGCTGGCCCAAGAGGCCCCCAGCACGCCCCAAGAGGCCTCCAGGAGACGTTCCAGGAGGGCCCCAAGAGGCACCACTCATGGATTTCCTATGAGTTGTTCAAGGGTTTCGGCGATCGCCGCTCGTAAGAGCTCTCGAAAAGGGCCCCAGGACGGCCCAAGGGGGCCCCCAGACCGCCTGTGCGGCCTCCAAGACTGGCCAAAAGGCCTTCGATAAGCGGTGGACAAACCTCCCTTTAGTAAACCTCCCCTTAATGAAAACGGCCTGGGGCCGAAACCGACGGACCTGGACCCGCAAAAATGATGGCCGCGACGCCCTCTCGCGAACCGAAGACGGCCAATTCCTCAATCGACGTGTCAGGGTAGGAGGTCTGTCCACCCCGGCTCCAAGACAGGGCCGAGATTGCGCACCCGAACGGACATGTTGAGCTCTCCGGCCCAAGATGCGCGAGGCCCCACGACGTCCCGAGCGGCTCCCGAGAGGCCCCAAAATGCCGTCGCGAGGCCTTCCCAGAAACCCCAACAAGCCTGCCAAGAACGGTTGCCCAGACAACACACCAGGAGTCTGCGACGAACCCCCGAAACCAACTCCTCAGTCACTGCGTCACCTCCAACGCACCCCACGTACTTCCTCAGGAAAACAAGCCCCGCCCAGCCACACCGCCTTGACAACGATCACTCGGGCAATCGACAGCAGTGCGACAACATGAGCCGCCGGAATGAGCGAAGCGATGAAATAAATAAACAAAAACGCTTGGGGCGTTTTTCTTCCGTTTTCAACGTTTGGTGTTGCGGGCGACCAAAACAAAAGAAAAACGGCAACCCAAAACATAAACAAAACGACACCTGCCGGGGGCAAAGCAGAAAACAAAACGGCAGCCCAAAGCAAAAACAAAACGGAGAGCCAAAACATAACAAAAAACAAGAGAATTCTGCTGCCACGCCGCGACGAAAACGGGAACAAAACAGCAGTTGAATACAAAAAAAGAACGGATCGCAAAACGAACCGAAAACGGCGAGACGGCAATTCCAAAACGGAAATAAAGTTGCTCCCAAAACAAAACAAAAAACGTCGATCTTGAAAACAGGGGGAAAAAACGCCCCCAGCGTTTTTCAGAACAAATCCCAAGACTCTCCATATTTGCCGTATCTCCTGGATGTTCGTCTCCCCCATCCACTTCGGATGTTTCCCATGTTTCCCTGGGCCTTCTGAAGAAGTCTACGCCTTCCCCGAAGACACAGAACACTTCTCGAGGCCAAGATCGTTTCTGAGAAGCCAAGCCTTCTGAGAAGGCCTGCTCCGTCTCGCTTCCCCCCCTCTGACGAGGCCCTGGGACACACAAATAAATAGACACAAATAACAGGATTCCCCCTATTGTCAAATATTTTCTGGGTTATTGTCTTCCCCCCCACTTCCCATATTTTCCCATATTCTCCTGGGAGTCGACGCTTAATTGTGTCTGTGTGTTTTTGTCCCTTCCTGACCCTCGCTCGCAGCCGATGACGTTTGTACAACTGCTACTCGGGCGTTGGCAAAACTGGGTTCAGTGGGACCTGGTCTAGTGATGTGTACTGGGGGAGGCCCCCCCCCACCCCGTTCCACTCACCGGAACTGCCGCAACCCGAACAAATACCACCTGCAGCAAACCTGGTTTATCGGGGATGGACAGACCTCCCGTTAGTAAAACGTGGTTTAGTGAAAACGACCTCGGGCCCAGACCTGGCGGGCGCAGGCCTGGAAAACAACGGCCGCGGCGCCCTCTTCTTCAGAACCGAAGACGGACAACTCACTAATCGACGTGTCAGGGTAGGAGATCTGTCCACCTCCGAGTGTAGTGATTCTGGCCCATTCAGGGGCTCCGTGGCCCCACCACCAGCCGGGCCCCCACCCCGGGGGTCCTGGCCATACCTTGGCGGCGAGCGAGGGGGGGAAGTGAGAAGGGGCGGGGCTTCTCAGAAGGCTCGGAAGTCCCCCGACCTTCTGAGAAGTCTTCTAAGCCTCCCCCGAAGACACAGAAAGCTTCTCGGAAGGCGCCGAGGGTTTCTGACAAGTCCCGCCGCCTTCTGAGAAGGCCTTCTCCTTCTCCCTTCCCCCGAGCGGCGAGCCCGAGCCAGACCCCACTGGAGGGGGAGGAGGAGGAGGAGGAGGAGGAGGAGGAGGAGGAGGAGGAGGAGGAGGAGGAGGAGACGGCCCCGCGGCCCGGCACGAGGGAGAGCACGCGCTCCCGGCGGCAGCGGGGCCCGACCCTGGGCACCCCCAGGGACCCCAGGACTTGAAGTCGGGCGTGCCCCCCTACGGCAGGTTCGTGTCGTGCCGACCCCAGCGCTGGTTTTTGACACCGCAGGCATCGTTCAACCTTGAACGATCGGCCGCTGCCGCAACGTCGGATCGCTCAACATCGATCGATTCTGGGTCGCCGGCGGCGTTCAACCTTGAACGCCGCTGACGGGGTCGCCGCTGGTCGACACGACGCGAACCTGCCGTACCAGGGGGATCCTGGGCGAGAAATCAAACACACTCCAAAAAATACGCCCAAGTGGCGAGCAAATGCTAAAAAAAACAGTCCCCAGACTGATCTCTGACTGTTTTTGAGCTTTCCCCCCTGTAGAGGGACAGGCCCAACTTCACCCAAGACCCACCCTTCTTGACGGGCAATTTTTTGACGGCCCCAGGACCCGCGGAGGGCTCACGTCGGATAGGAAGGAGGTGGGCCAGGCGAAGCCATGACGTGGACAAATTCGGGTGAACATCCATCGAGAGACTCTGAGAACCGGCGGCTCAGGAGGATGTCTCGGGCGCCACGGCCACGGCCTTCTCGGCGCGTCCCAGAACGCTCTGAGAGCGTTCTGGCACGCTCTGGAACGGAGTCATCCTCGTCCTTAGGGGAAAAACAAATTCCATAAACATAAAAACTCGGAGGTCCGCGCGGAATTCTCGGATCGGCGCTGGGGCCCCTGGCGGCGCCTCTGGCGCCGCCCTTGGCGCGCGGAGCGCGCCAGAGAGGGGGATCCAGCGCCGATGCAGAGAAATCCGTGCGGACCTCCGAGTTTTTATGTTTATGTCATTCTTCGTTCCCCTAGTCCTAGCCCTGTTCGGCTCAGATCGGACGAGAGGGTGGGATAGAAAGGGGGGCCTAACGAATCAGCTGCAACCAGCTGGACTCCCTGGTGCTGGCAGCGACCGTGTGTTCAAGGAGCGGGCCCAGCGGCGGGGCCGACGCAAGCTGCATGCAGCAGGTCTCCTGAGCGCCTTTCCCTGCCCGTCTATCGTCCATCCAGAGCCTCTCGGGGGACGCCAACTGGAATAGAAAACCCAAGCGAGCACACACAAGCACACACAGACAAGCAAGCAAGCAGGCAAACACACAAACAAAACCACTCTTTGCCACCGAAGCCCCGCGCGTGGCGGCGCGGCGCAGCTCAGGTCAGGCTGGAGCGCACGGGCCGGCCCAGCTCTCGCAGCGTGGACACACACACACACACACGCACACACACACGCACGCACGCACACACGCACGCACACAGACAAACACACACAGACAAACACACACAGACAAACACACACAGACACACAAACACTGTTGCTCCAACGCGCGGCTAAGTCCAAACCTCAGAAGCGCCGTAGAACGCAAGAGCTGCATCGAATCGACCTCCGCCTGAAGCGGCAGTCAGCCGTCGGAAATATCACACACGCCACACTAGAGGCCTCCTAGATGGGGTCCGAGAGTAGATGAGGTCGGAATACAGCGGGGCTCTTCTGACCCGGGTCAATCCAGACCCGGGTCAGCAGGAAACCAGAAACTGCAATGCAGGAACAAAAAACTGCAACGCAGGTCTTCGCAAACCCGGGTCAGCCGATATGCGCGGCCGCCTCGCGGCCACGAGCGGCTCGCTAACCCCGGTCAGCCAGAGGGGGTCTTCGCAGGATCCTGCAGGATCTGGCGCCCTGGCTGACCCCCGTCTGCATTGACCCCCGTCTCAAGGCTCCCGAATATAGCGCCGCATCGCCGATACACCGGTGACACATCGAGGATGCATCGGCGATTCCTCCTGCACATCGAGCCTCATCGGCGACGCATCGGCAATGCTGCGCGATCATCCGACACCATCTGCTCGGACCCTCTCTGGGAGGCCTAGATACACAAACTGTCGAAGTCCGCGCTGATTGCCCGGGTCGCTGGCGCTGGGCCCCCTCTGAAGAGGCCCTGGGACATACAAACAAATACACACAAATAAAAGGATTCCCCATATTTATCCATATCTGTTTAATGTTCGTCTTCCCCCCCACTTCCCACATTTTCCCATACTTTTCTGGGGGATCGACGACTCATTGTGTCTGAGTGTTTTTTCCCCCTCCTGATCCTCCCCCGCCGCGCGGAGCCCCGCGGGCAGGGACGCCGGGGCGCCAAGGCGTGTGGAGAGGGGCGTCCAGCGCCGACCCGAGAGATCCGTGCGTGCGGAACCGAGAACAGAAGGTGTTTGATTTGGAGCTCAACACTGGGTGCCACATGCGGGGTCCCGAGCGAAGTGAGCCCCAGCCTCCCCCTCAGAAATCGTTGGGGGGAGGGGTAGGGTTCGCATGTGGCCCCCTATCAACAGCTCGGCTCCACCAAATGCAGGACGTCTGGCGGCGGTGGGAGACACCAGCCCAGAACAGAACGTGTTTGCGCAGCCTGCCTGCTGAGATGACCGCGGCGGTTGCTGAAGAGACGGGGGAATTAGAAGTGGATGTTGAGGTGAGGTTGTATCCGGTCAGATTTAGCTTATAAGTGCGCTGCTCGTGCCCCAAGTGGTTCAGAGGCTTCGATAACTCTGCCAGGTGGGCGGAGCCCAACGGGCACGGATCGTTAACCCCGGTAGACCACTTACCTGTCACACAATTTTCAACTAAATTAGGCCACATGAAGCACACCTTCGCATCCGCTTTTCAGCCCCCTATCCCCTTAGCAACCGCCGCAGTCATCCCAGTGATCTCGATACGCGCCCAAGGCGGCGACGACACTCCTGGGGACGAGCCCTCAGAGGCAGGGGGAATCCTAGGGGGTTGGGGCCCAGGGGTGACGCCAATCTGAGGGATCCGAATCTGGCTCACTGGCAAAAGAACATGGGCATATATATATATATATATATATATATATACACAAGCGCTCAGCGGATTGCCTGGATCAGTGCTGGACCACCCTCCCTGGCGAGCGGGGCGTGCCAGGGGGGGGCGCTGGAGGCGCCACCACAGGTCCATGGCCGATCCGAGAACTCTGAGCGGGGTTCCGAACATGTATGCACGTACATCTGTGTCTTTTCTCGACCCCCATTGCAAGTGCGGGGCAGGTTAGCTTCTGGTAGTGAGGACACTGGCCGCGTCGGCCACTGTCGAAGTGCCCGGCGTGTCGACGTCATTGCATGTTGAGACTTTGCGTATCCATCTTTCGCTTGAGCTCGGCCTTTGACGGCGGCGAGCCCTGGTGGGAAGCGAGAAGGGGCGGGCCTTCTCAGAAGGCCTCAAAGTCCCACGGCCTTCTGAATAATTGTTCGGAGCCCTCCCCGAAGACACAGAAAACTCCTCAATGGCTGGAGCGCTTCCGAGAAGCCCCGCCGCCTTTTGAGAAGGCCTTGTCCTTCACATTCCCCCCCTCGGTCGCCGCCGACCTTGGGCTGTTTGTGAACCAACCATGCCTGCTCTTGGAGTCCAGGCTGGAAGGTCTTGGGCCAAGGACTGGGCCCCGGCCAGGCCAGCTGCGGGTGCATCCCTGGCGACCCCTCGAGCCTTGCCGGGGATCTGCGGACCCGGGTCAGTCCAGACCCGGGTCCGCCAAGCGCTGCAAGATCCCACAGGATCCCGCGGGATCCTGCGCCCGAGCCCCGACCAGTGCGCCCCTGGCCCCGCAGGATCCTGCGGCACCCCGACGGACCCCCGTTTGCAGGATCCCCCCGGCTCTGGAGCCCCGAGCCTTGGCCCCGGACGCCGCTCCGGTGCTCACGACGAGGTGCAGCTCCTTCGGCGGGCGGGCGGCTCGGGCTCCCTCCCCCCCCCCGCGGCTCCTCCGCCGCGGCTCCCTGCAGCCCCCCCGACTCACGCGAGCGGCACACGCCTCCACGCCCGCGCCCTCGCGGTCTGGAGCCCGGGGCGCGCTGCCGCGGAGGCGCGGTCGCACGCGGCTGCCCTCCACGCGGGGGCTCCGCGAAAAAAGCGCACCGTGCCCGCGGGGCAGAGGCGACGACAGGGGCGAGCAGCCCAGAAGAGGGCAACACGTGTATATTCAGGTGCGCCGACGATCTACGTCTTCGACCAGGGCGTCCAGGCGAATACGTATACTGTCCGCGCCTGAGCTACTCGCCCCTATCGTCGCCGCCGAGCGGGGGCCTTGGCCCATGGGGAGCCCCGCCCGCGAGGCTGCGGCTCCGGGTGCGCTCTTCGCCCACGACCCGTTCTGCGGCCGCCACTCCGGCCCCTGCTGTGCCGTGGCGGCGGCCCCGGCGACGCGCGTGTGGCGCGCGGGCGGATGGCGCGCCGCCCGGCGTCGCCAGGTGGGCGGCCAGGGACGGGCCATCGCTCGGGCGCCCCTTCCCTGTGCTTTTCTTCGGTGCCGTGCGTGGCTTTCTCGCAGGATGATCCAGGATGCTCCTGAATAATCCCCGCCGAGAAAGAGTGCACAGGTCCGAGCGATACCAAGGGGAGAGCGCGCGAGGCTGATGCTTCGTGACTGGGACGCGTTCGGAGTGCCGCGCCAGAGCGAGGTGGGCCAGAACCGGCGGCACGACACGCTAAGCAAGCGTCCCTGACCTCTAGAGGGGCGAGTGGAGTAAGGCGAGGGCAGGATGAGGGCAACTTCGGAAGGGGAGAGCGTCCCTGGAACACTCTGGGGCGAATTATCCTCATACCAGGCCTGCCTGAAGAAGGTCCGAGAACGTTCTCGGGTGCATCGGGGGTGACTGTGAGAGGCCCAGTGGTGTCGAACGTCCCCGAGGTCCCCGGAGTCTTCTGGGTGACTCCCCGAAAAGCCAAAAGCGTCACAGGGCATTATCGGGGATCCACTGACCAGGATCAGTGTAAACCCGGATCAGTCAGGCCTTGCAAGATCCTGCACAACCCTGGAGGATCCCGCAAGATCCTGCACGCAAGGCCGGGACAATGCACCCCTGGCTCTGCAGGATTGTGCAAGACCCAGCGCTCCGACTGACCCCGTCTGTATTGACCCCCGTCTCTTGCGCCCCGTCCTTTGGCAATCCATACTCGACCGACACGCATCAGGCGGGGGCCGTGGTGCTCGAACAGGGATTGGGAGGCGGGATGTGCTGCTGGAGCAGGGGCTCCGCATCTACGTGCTGCTTCATCTCAATTCTCCGCCTCAGTCCCCTCCTCCTCCTGCCCAGCGCATCCTCCTTGCTCTCCCCCGCCACCTCTCCCCCTCCTCGCCCTCCTCTCCCACTCCTCCTGCACTTCTCTCTTCGCATCTTGTCCTCTTCTCCTCCTCCCCGTCTGCCCCTCTTCTCCTCCCTCACCTCCTTCTCCTCCTCCTCCTCCTCGTCTTCGCCGTCCTCATCCTGTGACTCCTTCTCCAAATCGCCCTACTCCGCCTCGTCTTCCCCATCCACATCATCATCATCCTCGTCCCTTGTCCCTGCCGCCTCCGCCTCTGCCTTATCTTTTTCCGCCATGTAATCCTCCACCTCCTCCCAGGCTTCCTCATCCGCCTCCGCATAGTGATCCTCTTCTTCTTCGACGTCGGCATACTCACCCTCGCTGACCATATATTCCTCCTCCTCCCCTTTCTCATCTTGTTCATCATGATCTCCTGAACCTCTCCTTCAGATTCGGCCCCCCGCCTTAGGTTGAGCATCTCAGCATATCTATCGAACCCTGGTGCCGTCTGCTCTAGACTCTAGCACCCCACACTCACAACCTTTGCACACCCCGCTGTCAAAACCGACTGCTGTACAACCAGTGCTGTTTACGAGGGCGCCAACCCAGCACCAGCACCGATCGTGGACAGCCACATCCTCGGCCAAGGATCCCTGTATTCGCCTCCCAGCCAAGCGGTCAGTCAAACACATACCCACGTCGACCCCGTGCCCACGATTGACATGGCAAGGACACGTGTCGATATGTAGCGAAGGCGGCGTCGCCCGATCACACTGCCCGGCGGGGCTGTGGATGGGTTGTTCCAATAAACCACATCCTTGAGGACCTGCGCAGACCCGAACTTCTTCAAGATGAGGTGCATCCTTGGGAGAGCGCAAGACGGGCAGGCCAAAGGCAAACTGCCCTCCCAGACGATGGGCCAAATCGTGTCACGCGAACGCACTCGATGCCGCACCATGCTGTCTGTGCTGTGCGGCGGTTGTTGTGAGAGTTCTGCAGACGGACAAGACACCTCGACGAATGCGACGCAACACGCTCCAAGAAGGTCCCCTGAGCGAAAAGGTGTAAGGGGTCCTCACGCGCGGCGACAGGTCGGCCTTGTGCTGTGGCTTACCCCGCCACCGTGTCACTATGGCACGAAGTGGAGTGTTCCCAAATCCCTTACTCGACCCCCTGAGCTTCAGTCCCCAGTCTGGATTTGTCCCAGCCATCCTGTGGTGTTGGGTCCTCGTTTTGAAGAGACGGCGCCCCGCATTCTCCTCTTCCTTCCTTCCTCCCTCCTCCTCCTCCTCCTCCTCCTCCTCCTCCTCCTCCTCCTCCTCCCTCCTCCCTCCGTTTCACCCACCCAGTACAGCGCTTCGTGGCCCCAGAGAGAGCTCCACCGAAGGCCCCAGTGCTACCGCCCGCATGCGCCCCCCCACCCAGTACAGCATTTCGTGGCCCCATAGGGGAGCTCCAGCGAAGGTCCCAGCGCTACCGCCCACATGCGCCCCCCCAGCCAGTACAGCGCTTCGTGGCCCCATAGGGAGCTCCAATGCTACCGCCCACATGCGTCCCCCCCACCCAGTACAGCGGATCGTGGCCCCATGGGGAGCTCCTCTGAAGGTCCCAGCGCTACCGCCCGCATGCGTCCCCCCCACCCAGTACAGCGGTTCGTGGCCCCATGGGGAGCTCCACTGATGGTCCCAGCGCTACCGCCCGCATGCGCCCCCCCAGCCAGTACAGCGCTTCGTGGCTCCATAGGGAGCTCCAATGCTACCGCCCGCATGCGTCCCCCCCACCCAGTACAGCGTTCCGTGGCCACATAAGGAGCTCCACCGAAGGTCCCAGTTCTACCGTCCGCATGCGTCCCCCAACCCCAGCACAGCTAGCGCTTCGTGGCCTCATAGGGAGCTCCACAGACGGCTCCAGAGCTACCGCCCGCATGCGTCCCCCCCACCCAGTACAGCATTTCGTGGCCCCATGGGGAGCTCCAGCGAAGGTCCCAGCGCTACCGCCCACATGCGCCCCCCCAGCCAGTACAGCGTTCCGAGGCCCCATACGGAGATCCAATGCTACCGCCCGCATGCGTCCCCCCCACCCAGTACAACGTTCCGTGGCCCCATAAGGAGCTCCACCGAAGGCCCCAGTGCTACCGCCCGCATGCGTTCCGCCCAACCCAGTGCAATGCTTCGTGGCCTCATAGGGAGCTCCACAGACGGCTCCAGAGCTACCGCCCGCATGCGTCCCCCCCACCCAGTACAGCATTTCGTGGCCCCATAGGGAGCTCCACCGAAGGTCACAGTTCTACCGCCCGCATGCGCCCCCCCACCCAGTACAGCGTTCCGTGGCTCCATAGGAAGCTTCAGTGCTACCGCCCGCATGTGTCCCCCCCACCCAGTACAGCGTTTCGTGGCCCCAGAGAGAGCTCCACCGACGGCCCCAGTGCTACCGCCCGCAGGCGTCCCCCAACCCAGTGAGTACAGCGCTTCGTGGCCCCATAGGGAGCTCCACCGACGGCCCCAGAGCTACCGCCCGCATGCGACCCCCCACCCAGTACAGCGCTTCGTGGCCCCATAAGGAGCTCCACCGGAGGTTCCAGTGCTACCGCTCGTATGCGTCCGCCACGCCCAATACAGCGTTTCGTGACCCCAGAGGAAACTCCACCGAAGGCCCCAATGCGACCGCCCGCATTCGTCCCCCCCACCCAGTACAACGTTTCGTGGCCCCATAGGGAGCTCCACCGAAGGTCCCAATGCTACCGCCGGCATGCGTCCCTCCCCGCCCAGTGCAGCATTCCGTGGCCCCATAGGGGAGCTCCAGCGACGGCCCCAGAACTACCGCCGGCGTGCGTCCCCCCACCCAGTACAGCGGATCGTGGCCCCATGGGGAGCTCCTCTGAAGGTCCCAGTGCTACCACACGCATGCGTCCCCCCCACCCAGTACAGCGCTTCGTGGCCCCACAGGGCTCGACCGACGGCCCCAGTGCTACCGCCCGCATGCGTTCTGCCCAACCCAGTGCAATGCTTCGTGGCCCCAAGGGAGTTGCACCGAATAAGAGACTCACAATTGCAGTACTCACAGCTGCATATGGTTGGGTCTTTCGCCAGGATAATGTTTCAAGCGGCCCATACTCCAAACTTCACAAGATCTCTTTGGGTTCCCCGCGTGCCCCCTGGGGCGCGCCGCGGCGTCTCGCGTGCCTTTTTTTCCGGCGCCAAGACGGGACAAGAGGGCCCCAAGAGGCACCCCAAATGGCCCAAGAGGACACCGAATCACCGCACAATATGCCGAAGACGCCCATGATGGCCCCAAGAGAGCCCCAACTGCATTCCCAAGAGGGCCCCGAGAGGCCACAATCATTGAGTTCCTTTCGGTGTTTCATTGTTCCCAGCCATCCTGTGGTGGTGGGTCCTCGTTGTGAAGAGACAGCGCCCAGCGTCCCTCACCTCCCGCCCTCCTACCCCTCCTACCCCTCCTGCCCCTCCTCCTCCCGTCCGTGCCTCTGCTGCCTGCATGCCCATCATTTCGGCACACCACCCCCACGCTCCGTGGCCCCATAAGGAGCTCCACCGAAGGTCCCAGTGCTACCGCCCGCATGCGTTCGCCACACCCAGTACAGCGCTTCGTGACCCCATAAGGATGCTCCACCGAAGGTCCCAATACTACCGCCCACATGCGTCCGCCACGCCCAGTACGGCGTTTCGTGCCCCCAGAAGAAACTCGACCGAAGGCTCCAGCGCAACCGCTCGCATGCGTCCTCCAAACCCAGTGCAACACTTCGTGGCCCCACAGGGGGCTCCACCGAAGGTCACAATTCTACCGCCCGCATGCGTCCGCCACACCCAATACAGCGCTTCGTGGCCCCAAACGGAGCTCCACCGAAAGTTCCAAAGCTAGCGCCCGCATGTCTCCGCCACTTCCAGTGCAGCGTTTCGTGGCCGCACAGGGAAAGGTCCCAGGGGCGCCGCCCACATGCGTCCGACTCACACTTTTCGGCACACTCCTCACGAGGATCGCGACCCCATAAAGGGGCTCCACGAACGTTCCAGGGGCGCCGCCCGCATGCGTCCGACCCACACATTGCGGCACACCCCTCTAGGGGGCTCCACAGAACGTTCCAGGGGCGCCGCCAGCATGCGTCCGACCCACACTTTTCGGCATACCCCTCACGAGGATCGGTCCCAGGCGCGCCGCCCGCATGCGTCCGACCCACACATTTCGGCACACCCCTCACGAGGACCGTGACCGCATAGGGAGCTTTACAGAAGGTCTCAAAGGCGCCGCCCGCATGCGTCCGACCCGCACATTTCGGAACACCCTTCACGCGGATCGTGGCACATAAGGGAGCTCCACCGAAGGTCCCAGGGGACGCAGCCCGCAAGCGTCCGACCCAATGATTTCGGCACACCCCTCACGAGGATCGTGGTCCCATAGGGCGCTCCACCGCAGGTCCCTGCGGCAGTCCTTGCGCGCGCCTCCCCTGGCCATTTCGGTACGCCCCTCACACGCTTCGTGGCCCCATAGGAAGCTCCACGGAGGTCACAGCGGACGTCATCGCATGCGTCTCCACCACAATCCGCATGCGGTGCCCGCCCAATGTTGGCACTCCCCTAACCCGGTTCGCCCGTCTCACGCGGTTCGCGGTCCCATCAGGAGTTCTCCCTCGATCGTCCTGCATGCCCTGCGATACTCACAACTGCATATGCTTGGGTCTTTCGCCAAGATATGTTGGTTCTCCACTTTTCGAGCTTCCGACTCGAAAGACCGCCCAAAGGCGGCCCCAGAGGCCCCCAAGAATGCCCCAAGACGGTCCAAGAGGGCTCCAAGACGGCCCAAGAGGCGCCCAAGACTGCCCAAGAGAGCTCCAAGACAGCCCCAAGAGGGGAAAGCCGAAGTCAAAATCCAAACCTTCCGCCCCAACAGGCGCCCAGGAGGCCTCGAGAGGCGCCCGAGAGGCCCAAGTGGCGCCGACGAGGCCCCCACGACGCCCAGAGGAGCCCCCCAAAACTGCTCGAGGAGGCTTCAACACTGGCTCCGGGAGGCCCCACGAGAGGCCTCCCGCGAAGTCCAACGAACATCCAAGAGGCCTCAGACCCACAACCCCGGGCACGGCGGCGGGATGGGCCGACAGCCCTGAGATCGAGGCCGTTGACGAGGCACACGTGCCGAGGAGAGGGCGCCCACGCGCGACCTCGCGCCGGCAGCTCTGACGCGCCAGTGTCCACACGGTCGGTCACCGCTGCCGCGTCGCTCGCGTCTCGCCCTGCCGCTCGCCCGCTCGAGGCGTAGACCAGAAGAGAGTATGGCGTCGCCCTGGCACGGGGCAAAAAACGGACAGTGGAGCAGAGATGACGCCCGATGTCCGAGCGTCCGCCACCGTGCCCCTGGGGGCACGGCGAGGGCGAGTCCTCGGTTCCTCTGCCCAATGAGGGGGCCACATGCGAACCCTACCCCTACCCCCCACGACTTCTGAGGGGGCGGGTGGGGTTCACTTTGCTCGAGAGCTCCCGAACGAAGTGAACCCCACCCTCATCGTGTCGCGTGACTACCTCGGGCCCCAGAGGGCCCCAGACGGGCCCAGAGGGTGAGATCGGCCCAAGACGCCCAAAAGGTGCCCCCAGAGAGGCCACACGAGGCCCCTCTGAGATGCCCCCAGAGACCTCCAAGAGGCCTCCCAAGAGGGCCCCCAGAGGCCAAAATCGTTCCTCCGCAGAGTGGGGAAAGAATTGTGTACACTTTGTGCCCTATCACAAGAAAACACGAGTCCTGGAGCTGAGGGTCGTGACGTCCCCCGCGCCCTTCTGCAGCTGGGCCCTGAGCTCCGAGTTCTCGACGATCAGCTTCCGGTTCGTAAACCGGATGCACTCCTCTCCGAGTACGGGATCGACTACGGAATTGATTCACACAAACATTGCTTTTCTTGCCGAGTGATACGTCGAATGTTCGTAGATCTACGAACGAGGTTCCACTTGTCTCACGGATTCGACGAGTAAAGCAATTCTGAGGTGGATCAACTTTGTAGTCGATCCCGTACGCGATCCTTCAGAAACTCCTTCAGCTCGTCGTCCATGTAATGCGGGGGGTCGTACCAGAACACCTTCCGGGGCGGAGCGGGGCAACACGCACCAAGGAGGCCGCGCCGAAGGGCACTGCAGCCTCCTCGTTCTCTTTCTCCTGTCCCTCCCTCCCCGCCCCCTCCCCCCCGCAGAAAGGGGCGGAAGAGGGCGAAACAAAATGTAGGGGATGAGGAAGAAGAAGTGGGAGCCTCTGGGGAGCAGGACGTGGAGGAAGCGGAGGACGCCGGAGGGAGAGGAGGAGGAGGAGAGGAAGAGGAGGAGGAGGCGGAGGAACATGAGCGATGAGCAGGATCGAATAGGAACCACCAGGGAGAGGGGGAGTCGGCGGAGAAAGCGGCACGGATCGGGAGGAGGGAGGAAGGGCAGAGGTGCACGTCTGGGGCCAAGCAGGCAGCGGTCGGGGTCTGCCAGAAGCAGTCCGCCGGAGCACCGATGCAGCCTGAGGCGGGGCCTCTCTTGAGCTCAACGCAGAAGGGATGGAGAGAGGGGAGGGAGGGAGGATCATTACCAGCCTGGAACATATCCCTATCCCTAAGCTGGGCATCGCCTCGGCACAATGCCAATCTTAGGGACTCCCTCAGTTCTTCAGGGCGCATCCCTAAGATTGTCATCGCCTTGTGGCGTGTCAATCTTAGGGAGGGTGCGCCGCTGGATCTCCCCAAGGGGGGGGGGGATAGGACCCCCCCCCCCCCTTCCCCGATCCGTCGTGGGACCCCCCCCCTCCCCCCCTTCCCCGATCCGTCGTCGGGGACCCCCCCCCCCCTTTCCCCGACCCGTCGTCGGGGACCCCCCCCCCCTCCCCCCCTTTCGCCACGCCGCCCCCTGACGCCGGAACCCGACCCCCGCTACCCCTACCCCTAGTCTTCACCCTAGCCCAAACCCCTAATCCTAACCCGAACCATTAACCCCAGCCCCAAATATTACTCAATACTCATTACTCACTACCCACCACTACTACTCGCTATTCGCTACTCATTGCTCACTACCCCCTACTCACTACTCACTACTCACTATCCACTACTCACTACCCACCACCCACTACTCGCTACTCACTACTCCCTATTCACTACTCCCTCCTCCCTACTCACTACTCACTCCTCACTACCCACTACTCAATACTCACAACTCACTAAGCACTAGTCACCACTCCCTATTCACTACTCACTAATCACTACTCATTACATACACACTACCCACTATCCACTACTCACTACTCACTACGAACTACTCAATGCCCACAAATCACTACTCACTACCCACTACTCGCTACTCGTTACTCCCTACTTCCTACACAGTACTGGCTACACAGTACTCAGTACTCGCTACTCGCTACGCCCATACTCGCTACTCAATACTCACTACTCACTCCCCGCTACTCACTAGTCACTACTCACTACTTACTACTCCCTACTGACTAGTCATAGTCACTAGTCACAACTCACTAGTCACTAGACACTACTCACTACCCACTACTCACCAATCGCTACTCACTACCCACTATTCGCTACCCACTTCTTACTACTCACTACTCACTACGCCCTACTCGCTCCTCACTACTCACTACTCGCTACTCCCTACTCGTTACTCAATAATCACTACCCACTGCCACTATCCACTACTTTCTATTCATCACTACTCACTACTCACTACGCACTACGTACTACTCAGTACTCACTACTCAAACTCACTATTTACTATTCGCTACTGACTACTGACTACTTACTACTCACTACTCACTACTCACTACCTACTACGCACCACCCACAACTCACTACTCACTAATCACTACTCGCCACCCACTACTCACTACCCGCTACTCACTACCCACTACTCATTACTCCCTACTCCCTACTCAGTACTCACTACTCGCTACTCGCTACTCACTACTCGTTACTCACTACTCGCTACTCACTACTCACTTATCAGTACACACTACTCACTATTCACTACTCACTACTCCCCACTCCCCACTCCCTGCTCCCTACTCGCCACTCACTACCCACGACTCACTACTCACTACTACTCACTACCCAATACTCACTACTCACTACGCACTAACTCACTACTCACTACTCACCACTCCCTACTCCCAACTCCGAACTCCCTACACGAGGGGGGGGGGGTCCGACCGCCCCCCCCTTTCCAGCGCCAAGGGGGGGAGGGGGGGGGGGGTCCGGACCCGAAATGGAACGAATTACAGCCGACTTGTGCCAATTCCAACCGTTCGGAGCGAATTGCAACCAGAAATGAGACCAATTCCAACCAGAAATGAAACCAATTACCACGGATGGGATCTTCGGAATTTCCCCGGATTCCTTCGGATTCTTCGGAATTCCTCAGGATTCCTTGGGATTCCTTTGGGATTCCTTGGGATTCCTTCGGAATTCCTTTGGATTCCTTCGGAATTCCTCATTCCTTACTCTACTACTACTACCACTACTACCTACTGCTACTACTACTACCACTACTACTACTACTGCTACTACTACTACTACTACTACTACTACTACTACTACTACTACTACTACTACTACTACTACTACTACTACTACTACTACTACTACTACTACTACTACTACTACTACTACTACTACTTACTACTACTACTACGACTACGACTACGACTACGACTACTACTACTACTACTACTACTACTACTACTACTACTACTACTACTACTACTACTACTACTACTACCTATTACGACTAAGACTACTACAACTACGACTACGACTACGACTACTTCTACTACGACTACGTCTACCACCACTACTACTACTACTACTACTACTACTACTACTACTACTACTACTACTACTACTAACTAAACTACTACTACTACTACTAGTAATACTACTACTACTACTACTACTACTACTACTACTACTACGACTACTACTACTATGTCTACTACTACTACTCTACTACTACTACTACTAACTACTACTACGACTACTACTGCTACTACTATTGCTATTTATTTCATACTACTACTGTTGCTGCTACTACTACTGCTACACTACTACTACTACTACCACCACTACTACTAACTACTACTACTACTACTACTACTACTACTACTACTACTACTACTACTACTACTACTACTGACTACTACGCCTACTACGACTATACGACTATACGACTACAACTATTACGGCGACTACTGCTACCCCCACCACCACTACTACTACTACTACTACTACTACTACTACTACTACTACTACTACTACTACTACTACTACTACTACTACTGTTACTACTACTGCTACTACTACTACTACTACTACTACTACTACTACTACTACTACGACTACACTACTACTACTACTACTACTACTACTACTCTACTACTACGACTACGACTACGACTACGACTACGACTACGACTACTACTACGACTACGACTACGACTACTTCTACTACTACTACTACTACTACTACTACTACTACTACTACTACTACTACTACTACTACTACTACTACTACTACTACTACTACTAGTATTAGGAGGATCCATTTGGCATATTTTAGAATCGATGCAATTCGGTGCGTTTTTGCTTACGTTTCGGTGCCGTATGGTCCATCTCAACGTAGTGCTCGTGCGCGGGCCAAAAACTGAGACCAATTCCAACTCTAGCACGCATGTTGGCTTCCAGATCCTCTGCGTTGACATAAGGGGTGTCACTTGGTCTTCGCCGTCGTCTTGGGATTCTCTACAATTAAAATCCTATTGTGGGGCTATCCCAAGCTGGTTGGGATTGGTCCCGGTTGGTTGGGATTGGGCCCAGTGGGTTGGGATTGGGCCCACATGCGGTCCGGACCACCCCCTCCCCCCTTCAAGGGAGGGAGGGGGCGGGGGAGTTCGGGACCCCCCCCCCCCTTAAGGGGGGGAGGGGGGGGGGGGTCCGGACCCCCCCCCCCTTGAAGGAGGGAGGGGGGGGGGTTCTGGACCCCCCCCCCGCTTTAGTGTATTCAGGGAGATCCACTGGCGCACTTTCAACCTTAGGGATAGGGATACGTTCGAGCTGGAACGATCAGAAGGGGAATGAGGGGAATGACGATGCGGCCGCGGGTCTGTACCGCGGGCCTCGGCGCGCAGGCCGCACGCCCCACGCCGGACGGCGGAGGCTCCGGCTCAGGCCCATGCTGCCACGAGGTGCGGAGCCCCCCGAGGCCAGGACGAGAGCGGAGGGGCCCAGCAGGGTCCGGCCACGCGGCAAAGCCCCCCGGGAGCGCCCAGAGAGGCCCACACCCCGTGGCAGGAAGGAGAGGCGCTGAGGAGCGAGGGAGGGAGCAGCCGAGATCGGAGCGATGAAGGTGACGAGGAAGAGGAGGGACGGAGGAGTACGGCGACGCGGACAGGGATCTAGGAATCATGCAGGTCCATCTCCTTTGGCCCTCGTCCCCCCGCCCTCCTGTGCCTGCTTTCCTCCTCTTGGGACGGGGGAGGCGGAGGAGCAGGGTGGATCTGTACACCTCGTCGTCCTCCTCCGACGGTGGCGGCGGCAACGGCCAGGCCGAGGCCTCGTAATCCGCGTCGGGCCACTCGCCGCGGTGCAACTGCTCCCGCAACCATATCAGCTCCTCGACTGGACACGAACGACACGGGTCCTCAAAGAAGCGGGTCCTGGGAACCCCTGGGCATTCTCCCTACTCGTCCGGCGGTCTGGGGGCCCTGCGGAGGGCCCCGCCCAGACACGGCCGCCAGCCAAAAATCCTCCAGACCCCGCTTTCCCTCCCAACTGCCTTTCCAAGAGTGGCCAGCCCGGACCTGGGCCCAGGATCGGTGTGTGTGTGTGTGTGGGTGTGGGTGTGTGTGTGTGTGACTGTGTGTGTGTGCAGTCGACCCGTATTAGAAGGACGCACGATAATGATGCAGGGGCCTTGGAAGGCCGTTTCGGATCTTCTCGAGCAGGGCGAGGCCAGCGAAAGTGGCCAAGGAGAGGCCATGGAGGCAAGGATGAACAGCAGGGCTCGAGTTAAACAGTGATTTCCGTTTTCGTTTTGTTTTCGTCATCCCCAGTTCTATCTTCGTTCCACACTTGCTGCAAAACGAAGTCAAAACGAAAACGGTCCACGAAATTGCCAAAACACCGTTTAGCTCGAGCCCTGATGAACTGTACCCTTGGGGAAACTGCCCATCCTTACCATGCGGGTTGACTGTGCCTGTGCGCCCTCCAGATTCGGCCATGGAAGCGTATATACAAACTTTCGCACGTCAAAACCTGCACGCTGCACGGCGGGAGGCGGATGCCAAGTGCACCCTGGTCCGGGTTGTGATGGTGTTGCTGTGGCAAGCGTGACCAAAAACCAACGGACGTCCTTGGGTCTCGGGGTTGGATTTCTTGTAAAAGGTTTGTTGTGGTCGAGCTCCTACTGTATCCAATGACCCGGGCCTCTCCCGGCCGGGACCGCGGCCGCGGCCGCAGCCGCAGCCGCAACTGCGGTCGCAGCCGCAGCCGCGGCCGCGGCTGGAAGAAGAAAGCCTCCGCGAAAACATCGCTATCGTTTCCCCCTCCTCGCCGCGGCCGCAGCAGCGGCCGCAACTGCTACCAGGGCCGCGATTGCGGCTGGAAGACGGGGGTGTGTGAGAGCGGCGGGGCCAGGAGGCGAAGGAGGAGGATTGGAGGGGGAGGAGCAGAAGGGGCATGAGGCAGGAGGGGGAGGAGCAGGAGGAGGCAGGAGGAGGAGCAGAAGGAGGAGGAGGAAGATGAGGAGGCGGAGGAGGATTGGAGGAGCAGAAGCGGGAGGAGGAGGAGGAGCAGGAGGAGAGCCTCGAGCCCCGCCTCCGGCAAACGCGCGCGCGCCACAACACATACACACACGCGCGCACACACACGCAAACACACAGACAAACATGCAGACAAACACACAGACAAACACACTCACGCACACACACTCACCCACAACACACAACCCACAACACACACAACACACACAACACACACACAACACACACAACACACACAACACACACAACACACAACACACAACACACACGCACACACAGACACGCACACAAACAAACACACAAACACACAAACACACAAACGCACAAGCACACACAAACACACACACACATTCACACACACGCAAACACACTAACTCAAAACACACACACACACACGAACACACAAGCACACAAGCACCCACACATACACACAAACAGACAAACGCGAAAACACACACAAAGACACCGACATACAGACACACAGACGCACAAAGACACACAGAAACACACAGACATACAGACGCACAAACACACTCAAACACTCAAACACACAGACACACAAATAAACAAACACACAAAAACGCAAACACGCAAACACATTAATACACAACCGCGCAAGCACTCAAACACACAAATACAGAAACACACAAACACGCAGACACGCAAACACGCAAACACGCAAACACATTAACACAAAACCGTGTAAACACGCAAGCACACAACAAACACAAACACACACACAGCACACACAACACACACAAGCACACAAACACAAAAGCACACACACACATTCACATTCACACTCACATTCACATTCACAGTCACACTCACACCCACACCCACACTCACACACAGACACACCACACACACGCCACACACCACACCACACACTCACACACACACACACCAATCCTTGGCCCAGGACCGGACAGGCCCAGGCTCGGCGAGGTGGTCCCAATTGTTCGGCGGCGGGCCAGCCGAGATCACGGCGGCTCTCCCGCCCGGGGCCAGCCCGAGCTGCTCCCCAGGTCGGTCCCTGGACAACTCCCGCAATGCACGTGAACGTGTTCTGATTCGGCGCTTCGACATGGGGCGGAAGGGGAAAGGAGGGAGGGGGGTCTGGCTCCGGACCTCTGCTTTTAATTCGTCTGCTTGCGACGGCGCGTCCCATAGAGGAGACTCCACCTGCCTGAAACCTGCCCACGGGGCCAGATCGAGCTGCTCCCAAGTCAATCCCCGGACTCTTGTCGGAGAGACTCAAGGACTCGGGCTCGGGGGACTCGGGTTGCCCTGACGGGCCTTCATGAAAATGACGAGACCCCATCTGACATTTGGCGCGAACTCCCGCTGTACCGTCAACATCCAGGACGCGCTCGTGAAAAAGCATCGGCAAACCCTGGGCGTGCGTTTCCCTGGAACTCCCGCAATGCATCCCGCCCCATTGTTTCGAGGCGGATCCAGTCGTGGCAACGAAAAGCCTCCGGGAGGACCAAACAGGACAGGAAACGCCAGGGAGGGAAGTCGCTGTCACAACTGGCCCTCCTCCGAGGATCGTCAGATGCGCGTTTTGGAAACCCTATCTTGTTTTCCCAGAGCCCACGGGACCTGGAGTTTGGCAGCGCCTTACACGAGCCAATGACTGGACGGCCTCGTCAAGATCGATGTCTTCCGCGACATTCCCAGAACAACTCGCTCCACTCATGCGTCGACGCTGCGTCGAGCGTCCGTCGAATTGAGTCGAGCTTGAGTCAAGCTAGAGTCGAAGAAGAGTCGAATTTGAGACAAACAGATCCAATAGATGGGCCTCAGGAAGGTCCCCAAAACGAACATCTAAGGATCGGCCTGGCCAGGATCGGTGAGGCGGTCAGAGGACGTCGCCCCGTCCTTGAAGTACGCCGCGCGGCAGTCGTTCAGCACGCACGAGAGCTCCTCCGCACGCGCGCGGCAGGGGCGCCAACAGGAGGCATGGGCGACCCTCGGGAATCTTGCCCTTCGAACAGTGGACGTCCATCGATGATGGCAGGATCGAAGGGTCGAGGATGCCGATCGAGGATCGAAGGATCGAAGATAGAGAGAAAATAGGCAAACAAATTCCATGCACCGATGCTTTTTCTGGTCCTGTACTGAAGCTTGCAGCCAGGAAAGCGGATCCTGGTGCGTGTATACATTTTTCGCTGTTTCCCCGGGAAAACGGGGAAACCAGTATACATTACACCACCCCGACGTCGTCCCCAACCCTGAAAAACAGGCCGCCACCGGTAATGTATGTCCCTTCCGAACAACGCCTCGGGGATCGACGCTAATCCACGCTGAATCGAAGCCAATCTACGCTGACCGACGCTAAATCGGCGCTACCTCATCGACTCCCAGCTGGAGACAGAATTAGGAGGGTATCCCAGGCTCCCGTGATTTGCTACCGAGGAAAACGCCTCGGGGATCGAATGAGGATCGAAGTATGTGACTCTGAATGCTGCTGACCCTCCTCGAGCCTCGGGGGGCCTGCGCGGAGGCCTCAGGGACCACTCGCGGGGGCGCGCTCCAGAGGCCTGGGGTCCACAGACACCGGAGACCTGGGCGCTGAGCGACACCAAAATCGCAGTGGCGGACGGCTCAACGTGTCCTGGGCTGGGGCCAGGGCAAATCCGTTCCAGAGCGTTCCAGAACGCTCGCGTTCGTTTCCGGCTCCTGGATGCGGGCGGGGCTCTAGGACGAGGATACATCGGTTCCAGAGCGTCCCGGAACGCTCCAAGAGCGTCCTGGGGAACGCGTTGAGAAGGCCGCGGCGCCCGAGACATCCTCCGGAGCCGCCAGATCTCATAGAGATTCTCGACTCGTCCTCACCCGATGTGATCCTCGTCCTGCTTTCGAATCCTGGGGATGCCGTGGACGCCCGAGTTACCCGGGAGAACTGATGTCCTGGGTAACCCCCGCTTGAACCCCCGAGCGCGAATCTGCAGTTATCACTGACCGCCCCCAGCCCTGAGGATTCGGGAGGGTTGGACGCCCGAGTTATCCGGGATAACTGCGGTCCAAGGTAACTTCGGTTTGGGCCCCGAGGCGCGAATCTGCAATTTCCCCTGACTGCCCCCAGCCCTGATATATTCGGGGCTCTGATGGATGCCTGTCTCGGGCCGCGGCTGCCGCCGAACAGAGATGACCTGGACAATGAAATTCATTGGGGTTGCACCGACGTCTGGCTCTCAATGCAACATCGCCCTGCGACGCGTCCAACATACCACAAGACGGCTGGCGATACCAAGCGAGAGGAGATGTGTTTCCGAGCGCTGGGGCCGCCAAGAGACGGTTTGGGACAAGAAATGCCGGTGTTGCGTCGACTGTGGCTCGCAGAGGGCTCGCCTCGCTTCAGGCGAGATGACCTGGATGGTAAAAACTGGTTTCTGGATGCCCGGTGGCCAACCTCCGGGAACCCGTTCTGGGCCCAGGGGGCCGGCCTAAGAGTCTGGACGAGAAAGCGGCCACTGCATGGGATGGGACGTGCAGAGACATACCAGTACTAGATGTCATCTTTGGACGCGCGCGTCCGACCAGGATATATATATATATATATACATATATATCGTATACCCATCTTGTAGTTTGATTTTAACCTGGGTACGTTACCTTAGAGAGGATCCTGAAACAAACGTTGCAACGCATATTATGCGTATCTGTGCATATGCGGTCTGGCAAATCGGGGCGGCATCATCGCGACGCGAAGGGGCGTCGTGGGCTCGAGCCTTTGGCCTGGAAGCACGAAGCGCACGATTACCCATATCATGAAGTTCTGCCACCAGTCACTGTGTTCTGGGGGGGTGCACGGACACGCAGACCTCCTGTTTGGCAATCCCCTCTGTTTGGCAATCCCCTCTGTTTGGTTGCGCCGCTGTGCTCGGAGATCGAAAAGGTGATCTACCGCGGATACGGGCACACGGCACCAGAGACTTCACTTTTCGAACAAGGAGGGAGGACGAGGTAGGACGACGGACGGGGGAGCAGGGAGGCAAATAGGAACGAGGAATAATGAGGTGGGAAGGGGCGCTCCCCTGCCCGAGCCGCGGACGCTTTCGACAAAGGAAGGGGAACGGAGCAAGGGCGAGGACGACGATGGGAAGCAAACTGTCCCGGGTCCGATAGTCATACGCCTGCGATTCGGGTGCGCGCGCTTTCTTCGAGGCACTTCAAGCCCGACCCATACTGAATTCACTAATCCCTCCAAACTGTGTAAACACCCTGTCCTCTGTTCCCTCTCCTATACAACTGCCTCATAACAGAGGGGCAGTGGATTCCAATCTTGTAGTAAGGGTAAGGATGGCCAGACAGCGCCCGCCACGGAGCTGATGCTATAAGATTTCTCCGCGCGCGCGTCGCCCCTGTGGGGGTGACGCACACATAGCTAGTACATTGGGGTGACGCCGACGGGAGAGGGTCGAAAAGTCCAGGGGGGGTCATGTACGACGAAGTCAGGACGAAAATAAATTCAGGTGAGGGTCAATCAAGAATCTCTGAGCTCCGGCGGCTCTGGGGGATGTATCTATCGGGCGCCGCAGCCTTCTCAGGGCGTTCCGGAGCGCTCTGGAACGGATGTATCCTCGTCCCAGCCGCGGCCGAAAAGGGTCGAGGGGTCGGGGGGGGTCATTGCATGAAGAAGACGTCAGGTCGTATGTCTCGGGTGGGCGAGCGCAGGGATGAAGGGAACGGAAGAGCAGTCGTCGGGCAAGCCGGCTCCTGGACCCTCCTGAACTCCCGCTCGCAGAGCGTCTTGAGCGCTAATACCTGGGGCTCGAGCAGGGGATCGACCACATAGTTGCTTTACCCCAACGCTGATTTCGTCGTCGAGTCGGCGAGAAAAACGTGGAATCTTCGTAAACCTGCGACTAATTCTGCGTTGTTTCCGTAGGCTCGACGAGAAAACCAATATTTGGGGAAGACAAAAGGTACCGATACCGCTACTCCCCGGACCTCTCCCGGGGTGCGTTCTGGCCAGGATGTCGACGCGAATCCAGCGGAGGCGACGAGGGCCTCCAAGGAGGCCCACAAAAGGGAAAACGGCCAAAAGGTAGCGCTATTGGCACCGTTTCCTTCTCTGAAGCGTGGGGGAAAATCACTTCTGCGGTCGACTGCACGGTTTCCCCAGGGGCCGTAGGCGACCCGAGGAAGAGGAGGAGGAGGAGGAGGAGGAGGAGGAGGAGGGGGAGGAGGAGGAGGAGGAGGGGGAGGAGGGGGAGGAGGAGGAGGAGGGGGAGGAGGAGGAGGAGGAGGAGGGGGAGGAGGAGGAGGACGGGTCGCCTAAGCCCGTCGGAGAAACCCTCTGCGGTCGACCCCCTGCTCGAGGGGCAGCGCAGCCCTGACCGCAGGCCGGCGGCTGGGAGGGAGGGGCGGCGCGAGATCCTGTGCCCGCCCGTGCGCACCAGGTCTTAGGTTTAGGTCGGGCGTGTCCCCCAGTAGGCGGATTTTGGAGGAAACGTGAAAATATACAGAAGCTGCGCAAACATACACAACACATCACACATCAAATCGTCCCCCGACGGTTGTTGGACTACATACTTTCGTAAATATTCCTCCTGTAGAGGGACATGACCGACTTAAGTTTAGGTCGGGTATGTCCTCCTACAGGCGGATCTTGGAACGAAAATCGTCAATGACGCTGCGACGTGCTCAACCCATCGGCACCAAGGGATGATAGCAACACTGTCAGAGACGGTGCACGGCGGATGCCTATGTCGTGCGAAGTGTGCGTAGCCGACTCGCAGAACAGAGGTACAATAACCAGGAGGTATTTTACAGGGAAGGAGAAGCAGAAGTAAGACGGATTTTGGAAGACAAATGGCAAAGAGTCCTGGAATCATCCAAAATATGTTTAACATTTCGTCATCAGACACTTCTGCTACCATGCTTGAAACTTCCTCCTGTAGAGGGACATGCCCGACTCTAACACCGAGTCCCTGGACCTCCGGTCGGGTCATGCCTTTTTGCAACCGCGGCGCGCGCCCCTCATTTCGACCTTCAGGTGCCTGGCATCGGGCTCCGACAATAAGACGAAGCTAGGACGAGGATAATTTCGGGTGTATAAACCGAGAATATTTGAGATCCGGCAGCTCTGGAACATGTATCGAGCGCTGAGGCCCTCTCCGAGCTTTCGGGAACGCTCTGGCAGCGTTCCAGAACGCTCTGGAACTGATCGGTCCTCGTCCTAAATCCTATACTATAGCCCCGTCCGAGACAGTACTCCCTCCTGCACCGTGTGCGACTTTGTGCAGTTGCGGCGCGTTCCCTTCTTCTATAGGCCTCCAAAGAGCCAGGCATCGGGCCCCGACAGCACTTGGAGGCCTGGAAATGGGCACCAACACCAACACAGGGGGGTGCTTCGACATGGGGGAGATGATCCTGGATTTCGGTGTCGGTGGTAATATCTCGGTCGCCTTGGAAGCCAGAATATTACCACCATCGCCGAGATCGGGATATTCTCCCCTCGGTGGAGGCACACCGCCGATATTGGTGTTGGTGTCACCCTCTAGGCCTGCCAAACACTCCCTCCTGCACAGGGGGAGGGGAGCCCAGATCCTCTGTCTCAGGAGCCTGTGGGCAACGCTCTGGAAAAACCTGTCGCGGACTCGGATTCCAGTGGCGAGCGAGCCGTCGTCGCGTTTTCGAAACCCTCGCTGGGACCCCGGCGCGCCGTCTCGCTGCTACCAAATGTCGCCCCCCTCCAGTCACGGCCGGACACTGGCGCGACCGAAATGCGATACCGAAACTCTCAAGACGCGGATGATCTGGGGGGGGGTGAGGAGGA